ATAGTATGTAATATGTAATATTAGTATCAAAGAAGGAGGAGGTGAATCAAAGCTAACTCATTTATTGATTTAAACATTCAGAAGTAAACATAGAAGAAAACAATGGCAACTCTCTAATCAAGAACCATAAGTAACATTCTAAATAAAAAAAAATATTAGTCTAATTTGTCTGAAGGTATTGAAATTTTGTATACTTAATAATCATAATGATAATGGAATATTCACTGATGTAAGATGTTTAAGTTTGATATACTGTATTTATAAAAATTTTGTTAAGACTTTATTTCCTAACAGTTTTAGGTCAGTAATGAGGATCTATTTGTGTGATATGAGATAAATCTGGATAATTAAACAAAAACTTTATTTGTAATGATTAGACTCAGTGGCACCATGAGCCAGCCGTAATTGTTGCTGCTCTGCTGTTATCAAAGAAATTATAAAAATTTATTTCCCACAGACTTGAGAGGACATTTATAACTCACTTGTTGGCACCAAAAAGCTCTTCTCTCTATAAATTAACATAAGTTTCTTTCTGTTTCTAGCATCCATAAATATGTTTGTGTTTTGTCTGAATATTTGTTTTTGTTTTAATAATTATAGTTTTAGTTACTAAATATGTACAGATTTTATAATTGATTATTCATGATATTGTTCTCATCTTTAATTAATAACAAGGACATAAATTCTATATTTATATGTTAAAATGTATGTCCTATTAATACAGTATTTACTTAATTTATGGCTCATAGTATGTCTGTTGTGAGAAATAAATTGTTTAATAGTAATGTTTCTATATCAAATTTATATAAGTTGATAGAGTCTGCTTTAAATTCCTTGAATGACATTACCAGATATACTGTTTTATGAGAATTGCAGGTTTAATTCTGTTTCAATCATTTCTATTATCTATCTCAAGCAAACATTACAGATAAAAATTATATTTAAATTATAATTTAAGATTATAATCAGTCATTCAGAAAATAGCCATTAATGTCAGCCAGTAAGATGAATGAATCTTAATTTTAATTAACGAATAGACGTTTGCTGATTAGTGTTTGTCAGTAAATTATAACATAGATTAATTGAAAAGGATACACAATAGCCATTAACTAGAAAGCTTCATTAATTAATATGTAAAAAGTCGCTGCATCTACGCCAACTTTTTGCGTAGACTTTGTTTGATTTATCGACAAATAAATTTGTTTGGTATAAATATTGGTTTTTTGATTGTTTATCATTTCTTTATGATAATAGGTCATGCAAGAAAAAGTAATGTTTGTATATTGTTAGTGTGACATAGATAAAGTGTGATAAATGAAAGCAATTTTATTCTGAAAATAATATAATAATTGTATTGTGAAAATAACTTATTTTCTTCTACGTAGATAATTCAATATGAATGTCATTTAATGAAGTGTTTTTATGATTTATTTAGATAAGGAAGTTGTCAAAATCATTGTTATATTTATTAAAATATCCTGTTTGAATGTTTACCTTTTAACATTGTTGATTTAAAAAATTATCTATTGTCTGTGAGACATTTAAATGCCAGACATGCATCAGAATTGATTATATTTAACAGAAAAACTTGACTAAGGCCAAACAATAATATAAACTGTTGGATTTTTTTATTGCATTGTATTTAAATTTAAAAATTTGCAAGTTATTTTTGTTTATTTTAAATCATCATCATCATCATCAACTTCTGTTTTCTTCTAGGCTTTGCATTTGAGGAAGTATTTGACAATTCTTTCTGTCCTTTCACTTTGTTCTTCTTTCACCTCCCCTCTCTCTCTCTCTGTTTCTTGATCATCCTTGCATCACCCTTGCACATAGTTATGAGCTTCTGAAGGATGAACTCTTAAGTTTTCACTATGAGAGATTGGGCACTTCTACTTGAATAGAGAGTACTCCTAGAAAAGTGTCTGGTTTCATAGAGAAATTTAATTACTTACTTAAAGTAGGAAAGTTTATCTTAGAATAAGAACTGGGGTGTGTATAATCCTGATTTCTTCAAGATAATTTTAGAAAGCCGAAGAATAACCTAAATTGAGTATTAAATGAAATTCTACTAATTCTATATTAAGTCTGTCAAGCCAATAATTGTTCTTTAAGTTACTTGTAAGAGAAAACATGATAAAAAGAGTAGTTTTAGATAAAGAACTAGTAAATCTATATATATATATATATAAAAATGGACATGTATGTCCCTATATTTCACTTTTCCGCCAAAACTACACATTGCATGTGAATGGTGTTTGTATGTGGTAGTAACCCCAAGTCTCCATTCGTGCAGCAGGGGGGTTGCGTCTCGATAGCTATAAGGGTGCGGGAGATATGGGGCTGAAAGTGGTTGAAAGTGGCTTTCTATTTCGAATGTTTTGTTCGAATTTGTTCAAACAAATATTGGTTTGATTATAGAACAATTGTAAACGTTCCAGAAACATTGAAAATAGTTCGTTTGACTTGACGTGAACAGGAGACATTCAGAAACAGAATCGGGATGAGGTCTCTAATTAGTTTGGAAACGGGGGACCTAATTCTTGCATTCTGTGAAAACGGGTAAGATTGGCTATAATGTAATTATCTTAATCTTCACTATCGTTGCTTTTTAAAAACCCAGGGAAGCAGGTCCTTGCAGCTAGATTCTAGATTACTTAGAAAAACAGTCTTTTATATATATATAAAAAAAAACTATATTACATACAAATGTACGAACAAATAAAAACGCAGCGAAGCAGGTCCTTGCAGCTAGTTTTATATAAAAACATCTACAAAGATATTGAAACCTGAATTAATAGTAATAAGCCAAATGACTACAGGATTAAATCGGGCTACTTTTGTACGATTATTTAAATGATCAGGGATATTTGCATAATAATAGCATTTATAATATGAATACAATATCACAATATGCATTTTATAAACAACAGTCCTTTTAAAATTTAAACAAACATCAAATTACACTGTAGGCAAAGATATTTAATTTGGAATCTGGTGAATTAGGAATTCTTCTCAAACTACACTTTACAAACCTTTAACATGCAGTCTATTTTATTAAAGTAATCTAACGTTTTTGGTCAATTAATTGACCTTTATCAGAATCTTTATCTTTATTTACTCCCGATACCGCCAGAGCATAATCGAGTTAAATACAGAGATATATCAAAGCACAGGTAAATACATACATAATAACAGAGAAATAACGTACAAACAATATGACAATAGAGAAGAAGTATGAACAGATGGTGAGATGACCGATACAAATCAACCAATATGATACATAACTTGAGAGTAGAATAACATGTACAGTAGTATAAAATAGACAATACTAATAGTAATAATAAACATTACACAGATATATGCTGCAGCAGAACAAATAATGATATGTACAATAATGTGCAGGGAGCAAATGAAAATAGTGCCTGATGACAGACTTGACCAACCTGACAGAGTGACCTACAGAATGACAGAGCATATGTGATACTTATGAATCAATTTTTTGAATGCTTTGTACATGTCACTATCCTTAAGAAGGACATGAAGTTTATAAGGCCAAACAATTTTTTGATTTATGATGAACCAAACTGATTATGAAATATGCAGAAGCCTGACATTCACAAGAGCAGTCTAGCAGGACTGGCTATAAACTTTAGAGAATCATATAAAGTCTCCACAGCATGGAGAGTGGGTGCATTATGAACATATCAACAAAAGAAAAAAGGACAGACAGCTAAAAAATAGGCATCAGTTGGAGCCCGTTATAACATCAATTGTTTATTTATCAATCTTTCTATTTATTTATTTTATTATTATTATTAATTTTTATTTTTACTTTTGTTTTTGTGTATAGTTAGTGTATGCGTATATTTATACGTTATCAGTCTGTAGATTTTATTTATCTATTTTCGAACTTGCACAATAGGTGTTAAGAAAACTTTTAAAGTTAAGAACGTTCCATAATGAGTTTTGTTCATCATAAATCTAAAAATTCTTCAATCCTGATGAAGGTCAATTGATTGACCGAAAATGTTAGATTACTTAATAAAATAGACTGCATGTTAAAGGTTTGTAAAGTGTAGTGATTCAGGAATGTTATCTTAATATATACTGCTGCTGTAGCAATCAAATTTAATTGCAATATTAAAGAATAAGGATTGAAAACTGTAATCTTAAATATCATATATAAATGTAAGGTGCAGAGTGATCATAATTAAAGTATCCCTATTTCACATTGTGAGGCAGGATATATAACAGTCCAAAGTTTACCAAATTTGATGTTTCCAGAGATGTGGAAGAGATTTCCACGGGAAAATTTAGTTTCAAAACTTATTACCACAGCCTTGTGGCACTTTGAGTGACAAAAAATACTTTGTGCAATTTCTTAAGGTGTTGTAGATCTTGAAGTGCATATTGCTATTGTTTTCATGAAATACCTTCACAACAAAGGAAAACTCAGGCATAGTAAAATACCATCACTGCTAACCATCATTGCTGATCTGTAGTAATACATAAGATATTTCACATGTCTTAGGCAATTTATACTCAGAAGTTGACTGTAGCATGTGTGCATTATGCATATGTTATGTAGTTTTTGCCACTCACAGTGCGTTAAGTCCCATAATAAGTTTTGGAAGTAAATTTTTACTCCACAGAAATCTTTTCCATATGTCTGGAAATATTAGCATATTAAATTTGGTTGCATTTTGACCACTGCACATCCCTCCAGATGGTGTTGAGTAGGAGTACTTTAATTATGATAACCTGGTGTATTTGTAATGTATTTAAATGAAACTTCACAAGAACTATTAAAAATGTACTCAAAATTTAATGAATTCCACTTTATTTTTGCACTTCTAAGTTGAACATGTGAGTGTGAATTGAAGATACCTAACATCTTCAACCATTCAATCTTGTGTATTAGTATGAAATTTTATGAGAATTACATGTATTTATAATATTTAAATAAATATTAATATTAAAATTTTTATATTTTAAAGGTGTTGAAATCTGCATCATGATAAAGGAAGAGATTATCTGTGAGGGAAATAATGTCAGTCTACCTTCCGATGAAGAAGTGACAATGGTGGCTCATGTTCTGCCTTCTGACGAAACTGCTCTCAAATTCTTATGGGATTTAGGACTCGGAGAACTGAGAAAAACGAATAGTCCATCCTTACGCTACAATTATCGTGAACCTGGGATGTATGTGCATCTTATATATATTTTTTTTAATATAAGAAAATTATTAGACTAGATTTTGCTTGTCAGAGAGATTAGTAAAAACGAGTTAGACTTGCGTAACTAGTTATATAACAAAGAAACAAAGAATACACAAAGATTACACTGTCTTGACTCACGGAAGGTCAGCGCTGAAAAGGGGAGAGTGAAACGAGGTCATCATCTCTAACGGTTCCCCGAGAGGTCAACAGTGCCACCAACCTTTTATTACATAACGGAAGAATGTCTACAAAATATCGCGACACAATGCATTGTACATAACGATATCGTATAACATTAGACAATAATTTCGATCGTTGATTCCAACAAAAATATCTTTCTATTTACAAATATAGAAATTTTATCTGTATATTTTCTGTCATACTTCTAAAAAGAACAAGTTTGAAACTATTCTTCATGATGATTATAAAGTTATGTTATAAAGTGAAGTTCATTAACTCTAAAACTTTAATAAACTTGTTTTAGCATTAATGAAGTATTAAGAACAAATTTAAAATTCTTGTATTTTAAATTATCTTGATAATTTTGAAAATTTATGTAAAATTTTAATTTTATTCGCACTTTTTAAAATTGACAGTTTTATAATATATTTAATGAGCATTATTTACTTTTGCAGATATGTTGCCAACATTACAGCCCTGAATCATGTCAGCATGGTGTTATCGGGACAGATTGTGATACACGTGGTTCAGAAAGTGGGAAATTTGACTTCGATTCGTCATTCCGGTTCGATATTAGTGAATCGCACAACCATTTTCCATGCACAATATTGGTTTGGCACAAATTTGACCTTCGAGTGGGATTTTGGTGATGGAACCAAAAAATTGATAACTAGTTCTGATAAAGTTCAACACACTTATACAAGGTATTATAAAATATTCACAGAAAAATTTAACTTAATTTGTTAAATTAACTGGAATTTTGAAATTTCTTTGAATTGGATTTTGAAACCTCTAAAGATTTAATACTTAAGAGATATCCTATTAATCAGATGTGAATAAACAATTAAATTGTTCAAACATATGAAAGGCAATAGTAGAGTGATAGATTTCAATTTCTGACTGCCTTTTCCAATATTTAAATAATTGCCGACTTGTGTATGGTACAGACAATTTGATTGTTTACTGTCATATACAAGTATAAAATTTTAAGAATGTAAAATTTAAGTGAATATGTTTAATACAGTTTAAAAAATATATGACATTTTAATTTTAAGTATCAAATAGATTATGTATACAGAAGAATTTCTTATACAAAATATCACATCCACATTTTAAACCAAATTGATGAAACTTGAAAAATATGTAGAATTAATGTTGTGAACTATAGCAAAATATATTAATAAATGTGAATTTTGTACAGTGATAATACTGTTAAATTTCCTAATTGCATATGTCATTGACCTGCTGCTTCTGACAGATGCAGGTTTGAATATTTGTTGTAACATCAGAAATTTCCTAAGCAGTTTTACCAGTGGGCCACACTATTACCATCCCTGCAATGCATTGTGTGCCTGACTGAATCCATGATACCCGAGAAAACGCTTATTTCTTTCAGGAAGGAAAACCTTAAGAAAGCAGAAAGTATTGTTAAATTTTTAAAAGGTTTATAATTTATAAAACTAATAATTCATAAATTACAAATTGAATGTACACTTTACAATTAATGTCCATATTTGTATGAATTGTTTTATGATTTGTGTTATTTGGAAAAGTTAAATTTATTAACGGAATTTTGATTTTCTGTTGGTAAATTTAAAATATGAATATTTTTAAAATTATGGAATGGATTTTTTTTTTTTGTTATTTGCTTAATATTTTACACTTTCAAAACTGGACTTTTAACCAGGGCTGTGGAGTCGCGTAAAAATCTACCGACTCCGACTTTTCCTTACCAATCTGAATCCGACTCCAGCTAAAACACCAAAACTCCACGACTCCGACTCCACAGCCCTGCTTTTAACTGTGTCATAATGTTTAAATTAGTATAGAGTATAGAATGAGTATATTATAGCAATTAGCATGAGGTGATAACTAATAATTGAAGTTCAAATTAATAAATATCAAAGTTTATTCATTTTATTTAATGAATTATATCATGATGTGTATGATTATAATTTAATGCACATGATTTGATTTATTTGTACAGAAGATACTAAGAAAGACTTTGATCTTTATTTTGCTAGCAATAGGCTTACTTTTATTAGAATAGAATATAACAAATGTTAATGTATTAAGTAATTTTAGATTTTTACTGGAAGTTGAGAAAACAGTTTGATTTTTCAAACAAAATAATTATTCATGATTAAAAAATAGTTAAAAATAAGGACAGAATTGAAGTTTCTATTGGAATGAGTGGATAAAAAATTTAACTGAGTGTTAATTTAATAGCGAAAAGGAAATTATTTTAATTAAATTAATTAATTTATAATTAAAACTTAAAAGAGATCAAATTAAATCAACCACTAATGAAATTAGTGGCCAAATTAATTTTTTTTTTTAGCAATTCATCTGTTTTAAATAGACCTACTTCATTGTTTTGCAGTGAATTGACTTACTGCCAGTCTCTGTAGTATTTTATTGATGCATTTGTCTAGAGTTTTGCTTGGAATTGCTTAAAATTTTTTAAAATAGTTTTATTAAAAAAGTAAATACACAACAAGAGTAGTACTAAAGTTAATATGTTAATATTTTAATTAATGATTTAAGCAAATTTTCTGCTTTAAAAAGACTTCTATCCATTGCCACTTACTTTTTTGAAGTGTAGATTTATTTAGAATAAATCCTGTGGTAGAGTGACTGTTGGAAATTAAGATATGACCATTACTAATGAAAAAAGTAATTAAATGTTTACAATTTATTGCATTGAAAAAGTGGCTCATGTTCTTAAGTTATGATTAAAAGATCTCAAAAAAGTAATTTTTGAGCAATTTAATTAATTGTATTTATTTTCATTTTTGCAAATGGAAATGTCGTGTAAATGACAAAAGATTTCCACCCCTCGATTAACAGTATAACCCAGATACATAAAATATAATATAAAAAAATACAAGTGTAAACAGAAAATAAAGAAAACAAATGCATTTAAAATGACTAAAATCTTCATGTAGTAAATTTTCAAAATCTATCATATTACAAGAGATACAATAAAAGTATGATCTTTGAGAAATGCTCAGTCTGTAAAAGGGAGTAAAACACAAACACATGATGTGTTAGGCAAGTTTCAGTGAGGAATTGTTAATCGTAGCCAATCCGACTGTGTATTTCCATTAAAATATTTATGTAAGTGCAAACGGTTGAAGTATTTGACGCACTCTTTAAAAATTGGAAGACCTAGTCCGGATTTGGCGACGTTTGGATGATAAGTACAGTAAATTTAACATTAAATAAATTTTGTCAAGTTCTTTTGTGATGTTATTTAAAAAAGAAGGGGCAACTATGTCGTAAATTGATAAACCATAATATACAATAGACTGAAAATTTGGGAAAAAATAGCATGGAGCACATTATTCGATATGTTTACAGAATTGCCAGAACATTAGACAAATAGAACATTATATTAACAGGAATCAAGATAATTATGATGATGAGTATAATCATCACTAATATTCAGGATTTAGGATATTTTAATTTTGGATTAGGATGCTAATTAGGACACACTATTCTATGTAGAATAATTTTAAAGTTATTTATAAAGATTTTGTTTTATTTGAATGCAAATTATTTAATGAAAAAATGTTATAAATTAATAATTCTAACTTGTAAAATTTACTTGACATTTGATTCATCTTTCTTATGCAGAAGATGTGTTTCAAAATGTTGAAAATGTTGGTTCAATTTAATTGAAATTCTATACGTTTTCTTTTTAGGAATCCTGTGACGTATGTTATATGACATATACGTGTCATATAACATATGTCACAGCCTTTATTGGAATGTATTCGAAACTTTAAACATTAGAACACAAAGGCATTCTATTTATAGAATGGTTTTCCATTTCACAGTTCCTGAACAGGGCTGATGAGATAGTGGTCCAAAATGTTAGATTATTGAATTTCTTTGTTGGAAATTTTGCATTGATGTGTAATTTCTTATTTATATTAAAATTAATATAAGATGACAACATATCCACCTATCTCTAGTCAAATTAGCAACTAAACATTAATGTTGCAGAAAATATCCAATACTTCGGCTGATCGTTTGCCATTAATCCAAAAATAATTTTATAACTGTATTAATTATTGTTTAATTTGAATTCTTAAATGTATTAATTATTGTCAGGAGGATGTGAAAGATTGTTAAGTGTGTTCACAAGATAATGCTATGATTTCTTTCTAGCCTTGTCCTTGTTTTGGGCTTTTCATTCTCTTGGTATTAACTTGTATGTCATTATATTTATATTGTATATATTTTAATATGTATTTATAACTTATTTATATAGTATGCAGCAGATTAACCTGATAGTTATTAAATATGGCCATGACTGAAACTTTAGGGATGGGAGAGTGATCTTGAGCGCAAGTGCTGTATAACTCAAAGCCATTTAGTAACAGTTGAAATGTGTACTATTTGTGTATAATAATAATAAAAATAATAATAATACAATTTTGTTAATTTTTACCACATGGTAAAAAAAAACAAGTAAAAGAAGACACAGTTTCAGAAAGAGACAATAAAAATACATTTTGTTTTATAGAATTCTCATAAGTTATACAAGCAACCTTACACAGTGTTAAGGCTACTGCTTGGTGGTGTAGCAACTTTTGGAATGATTGATCACATTTCTTCCGAGATGAAGTGCAGCTGTAAGAGTAAATTTAGTTTTTTACATCAAAAAGCTTCACCTCTTCCTTGAATTGGAGTTATGCCATGTGATATTGAATACCAGGATCTGTGGCTTCAGCAGTATGGGGTAATGGTTCACACTCTGGCATAGTTGAAGTGGACTGTTGGGGATGAAGTTGCAAAAAGTATGATCTGTAAAAAGTCATGCAAAGATTTAGGGAATAATTGAAAGAACATGTAGACAACAAAAGATTCTCGCTCACAGATACAATATTTACATATTTTTGAATCTCTTATACAATAAGAAATCATTTAATCTTAAGTTAAATTCTTTGAGATTAAGGGTGCAACTATGCAGACGCGAGTGAGTGAATTTTCCGAGCGAGTGAGAATATGTGGCGAGAAGAGGTGAGACGCGATAAATATCAAAACCTGTCAGATATGTGCGAGAACCAGAAATTCGCTCTCGCCAGCGTTATTTCTCGCTTCTTGTTTGTGCATGGTTTTCCTTTGCGAAAACTAAATCGCTCGCAACCTCTCGCTCGCTTTAACTTCGCATCTGCATACTTGCACCCTAAGTACAGGATTATGATAAATTAATTTAGCATAATAACATGAAGTGTATATTATTTTAATTTAAAAACTATCAGGTTAATTTACTCCACCCTTTATTACATAATTTTAAATTTCTATATCCAACTTTAAATTCTTAACAAATGTTCCATTTTCAAATATTTGCAATTTCTATCTGAAAAATGATCTAAAATAGATAGATAAAAAACTTTTTAATGAATAAATTTGGATTTTTGAAGAAAGCAATTTTATTTAATATATTTTATTCGTTATTTTATTTCAGTGTTGGAGAATATTGGATGACCGTCATTGCTCACAACAAATATAGCTGTGCCAGCCTAAAGACCAACGTTTTTGTCCTGTACCAGTTTTGCCAAAAGCCACAGATCAAATTCATAGATCAAACTATAGAAAAGAAGGTATTGTATAAAATTTTAAATAATTGAATTTTTTGATTCGTTAAAAATATAGAATTATTGAAAGAAATATAAAATGCAGGCATTTAAATGTATTATATATTAAATGGTAAATTTATGCTATTGAATGCTGCATTACAAAATTCATTTCACTGAAATTAAATTTAGAATCATGACGCTGCACATTTCTAGCAAACCTTTACTCGTCTGTCTACCGAAATATATTTTACATTCATGAGTTGCCGCATATGTTTGACACGCTTCGTTAACTATTGCAACACTGCAGTGGCTCTAAAAATAATGATATTAATTTGATTTAAAGAGAAAATTACCTTTTACACGCTTCTTTTGAATCAATAAACGAGTTTCAGAAAAATATATTTAATCTAGAAATACTATATTTTGTAAAAATTTTTATGGAACAACTTTAAAGTGTTGACTTAATGATGTTTTTTTGCTTTTTTAATGGAGTTTTTGATTACATAAGTTTGATTGTTATTTGTATTACAGTATTAGCAATGTGTATTAAAATATATGTTTATTAATTAATATAATAGACTAATTAGAAGTGGAAATGTTCCTTTATAAAAAGGAATGACTCAACAGTTATTCTAATTTTCATCAAAAGAATGCTGAAATGATATTCGAAAAGTAATATTTAATAAGTATAAAATTTCTTTCACAATTGATTATTTAATTACTTTAAGATTTTATACCAATAAATATTAAATTGTAGCGTATGCAAACTGTTTTTAATTCTGAAGTTGTAGTGCAGAAATTATAATCTCTGATGTATCCATTGAGCTACTGAACCATATTATGAAAAAACATTGTTAAGTTTAGGATGAATTATGGTCATCATGAGGAAAATGTCCAAACTTTACATCAAATGAAAGCTTATGATGAGAGGGGATATTACTAGTTTCAAGTTGGAAAACTAGAGGAAACGGGTCATTTTCATAGTATACATTACACTTATTTTTATGCAAAGTATTTCTAATAATTGTAGACAAGATGATGCTTTTGAGAACTTATTGCACGGTAGTTGTTTCTCCTGTTCTTTTGAAATTCTGAAACTTTGTGCAAGCAATTGCAGTGTTTATGTTGCTATTGTAAGATAGAATCATCAATGTTTGTATTAAGAAAATCAAGTAGAGTAAAACACATTTGAAAAGTGATACTTGTTGCATTTGATTGGTGTCTTCTACTGTCAGTTTATTGTGTTTTTACAAGTTAAGTGCAAAAATCAAGTGATCCATAGAGGATGAAAAAGTGCAATTTTTGCCTCTTTTTTCTAGTTAGCTGACTTGAAACTGGTACTGTTGTATTCCTATCATCACAAGCTTTAATTTAATATATAGTTTGGGCATTCTCACTAGGGTGAGTGGAATTTGTCTCAAACTTGGTATTGCCCTTTGGAACACAAACTATAAATATCATAAAACAGTTTACAGAGAATAAATTTGAAAAAAATAAATTGTAAAGATGTCTTCAGAGATTATTTTCCTGTTAAATATGGCATTTGTAGTTTAAGGTTAGGCATACAGTTTTAGTGTATGAGCGTGTCTCTTGAGTTCTCTGTTAGAGAACTCAAGAGACACATCCTCATGACATACAAAATGTAGATCTGATAGTGCAGCCTTCTCAGAATCCAGTTTTAATGACATGTTAATTCAAAATTTGTTAAGTATTGGTATTTCAATAATATAAAATACATAAATATTGATTTATTAGTTTATTTTTTTGATAATGTGTGGTGAAAGAACCAGGGCTGTGGAGTCGCGTAAAAATCTACCGACTCCAACTCCGACTTTTCCTTACCAATCCAACTCTGACTCCGGCTAAAACACCAAAACGCCACGACTCCGAGTCCACAGTCCTGCCAGGGCTGTGGAGTCGCGTAAAAATCTACGGACTCCGACTCCGACTCCGACTCTGGCCAAAACACCAAAACTCCGCAACTCCGACTCCACAGCCCTGGAAAGAACCCATTTATTCAGTTGACTTTTTAGTTATTTTAAGGTTATTATTTTTTAAAATTATGTTAAATTAAAATCAAATACCTTGATTTTAGTATATTCAGATATATAATTAACATTAACATTAAAGTTTATTAGTGATTTAAAATCGAAATAACTTTCTTTTATATCAAACAATAATTAAAATTTCAGATTCAATACAATCATGACATCATGCTGGAAGTTGACCTGACCACGTCTTGTGAATTAAGTAATGATGTTCTTTATTTCTGGAAAGTTTTTGATGAGAGACAGAAGGAAATGAATTTTTCTGAAGAAATTACAACTCAGAGACAACTTATAATTCCTAAGGAAATTTTACCAATTGGAAAATATATTATAGAATTAAAGGTAATTGCAGTACAATTTGATAGTACAACCGTAGTACAATACTGGAATATAATGCATTATTTAGAATGATTTGAATATTGGAAAAATTTTTCTCTGTTTCTTGTGGAAAAAATTTGAACTTATTTTCAATATATTCAAATAACTCTATCTCATTTTCTCAAATTATACCAAATCACCACAACACATCTACATACGTAGCAATCCATAATTTTAGCATGATGTTAAATACAGGTATCTTTTGATTAACGTGATTTATAAATATCTTGATGCTATCGCATATATCAAAATTGTGTTAATCAGATATGGTGGTACCTCAGTACTCAACCGAACAATTACGACATATTATAAGAAATTTTCTGTTACATCAAGGGAAAATTTCTGAAGACCAGAAATATCTGGCAAATTTGCTATTTATTTGTATTTTGTCATCTGTAAGAAAAGTTTTTTTATGATAAAAATGTGTAACTAATTTAAAAATAAAATGAAACCTTACAGCCGCTTACCTTTGTCAGACAAAATTTTACTTGATCCAGTTTGTTTTTTTCATGTAATGCATGTGGAATACAATCATCATGTTGGTGACATACTAAGATTTGTTGCAAGTTTACTAGTTTTTATTTGTCAATTTTTAACTATTTCTTTCTGGAATTTTTCTTCGTTGACAGTTTTTGGATGCCCTATATGTTTTGTATCCTTTAATTCAAAATTTCCCAAACAAAACTTACAAAACCACATTTGACATGATCAATGTTTAAGAGCATCTTCCCCATACACTACAAGTATTTTTTACTGTTTGTATAGCATTATATCCTTTACAAAACTTAAAAAGCATACATAATATGCTTGGTATGCGTTTTATCTGCAGACATTTCAATTTGATTTTACACATACAATATGTGAAGTAAAGTTTCAAAATAAGCTTCTAAACAAAGAATACAATACCATATTAGCAGTAATGTGCTAAATTTCACAACTATTGTAACTAAACTACAGATCTATGTCAGAAATCACCCTCGGCACAAAAATAAGAAATTCACCAACAATTAATTTATTAAGAAAAACATCTATGTTAAATAAAGATGGTTGTTAAAGCTTGCATTAATTTAAACTTTTACTGAGTATATAAAGCAGCAATCCCTTTATATATATACTTATGTTTCTGTCGAGCCCACCTCTCCAGTGATGTGATACTGACTGCACCTTTTTCTGCCTCTCCCTTGGGATTCATGGTAACACTTGTGATATTGCATCCATCTGGTTTATTGATCGCACTCGATAGCTCACTAACACATTCACTTTCACTCATTATTGTCACCATATATAGAAAAGAAAAGAGAGGAGGATTGAGGCACTCCTAACCTTTCACAGATGCCCAGAATCCTTTTGGGAATCAGAATGTGCATTTAAGAACCTCCCCACAAGTGGTTCGGTTCGCTGCCGGGACAGCTACCATTTAAATGACCGCCTATCCAAGGTCACCCAAGCTCAGTTGGTTGCTTGGCTTGGGTCGCCCCTTCATCCATACTAAGAAACCTTCTTTCCATTTACAGTTCTCCAGGACCAATATGGTCATCCAGATCATCATCAGACCTTTGAGCACCACCCTACCCCCACGACAAGGAAGTTGGCCCTATGCTGTTGGGTGACTCTGCCGACTGCCTGTCATGGTAGATAACAGTTAGTGGGATCCTGTAAGCCACTACAGATGCTATCCCCTGGCCACCAGCAAGGCTTCAGCAACAGTAGTATGACTCCTTGCCTCACTGGCTTTGGCACGCAGGCCGTGGCCCTCTAGCCAGCACTGGTGTGCAAAACTCGGTCTTCCTCCTGGGAAACTGCTTTGCTGTTTACCAGACAGGAGCTTTACGTGGTCTGTGCTTCCACAGGCTAAGGCAAATCAACTGCACTCAACCACCTTTGCATTCAAAACATCAGCCCATGTCACTGGGGTGGATGCGGGAGTTAGCTTCGTGTGGCTAAGATTCCAAATGGGTAAGGATTGTCAGATCCATGGTTCTTGGATTCTGTTGCCGGGATGGCAGGACTATCAACAGGTGTTGGACAAGTCCAAACAACTACAATCCACGTATCTCGTTTGAAAACAAGGCCTCCGTGGATTGCCTGTTAATAGCAGTTACAGCAACCATACCCAATGGCAGGCTAACCGAGAAACCTCCATGGCCTTCTGCATGCCAAACCAACAAGGACAGCCACTGCATTACAACCATGTCCAGTCTTCCCACTGAAAGATGTGGATATGCATGCCACTATGCCAAGGCATAGTTTACTACCATCTGTCCCAATCAGGCATAGATTCTGGGCAAGGGAAGAATAGTAAACCTTGTCAGATGCATCATTAAATGCAGTTATGATCAGCAGACTCCACCAAGGCCTGTCAGGCGGTCCCAGGGCCGACATTTAAGACATCAGGGTTATTAACCTTGACACGTCCAATTGGCTGTCTATAAAAACGCCTTGACCTGTGGTACTTATTCAACAGGAGTCAAGGTTGGGCAACCTTAACATGCCAAGTGGACAACATCCAATAAGTTTATTTAAGATGATGGGATTCTTATACCTTGACACATCCAAGCGGGAATGCAAAAATGTCCCTACTACCACCAGAACCTTTGGCCTGTGAATAAACCTCCATCAATGACTGCAGCCAAGGCGTGTTCACCTCTCTCTGTTAAGCCCCCCACCACTACAAGGCTGGCAACCCTAATTCAGGAAGGCACAAAGTTATGGCTGAAGGTATCCAAGAATTCTCAACGAGAAGAGCTTATCACTGTATTGTTAGGTTGACTAAATTGTCAACTTAATCTGTCAACCTAATCGATACAGCAGGACTAGATGTAGACAAGCAGGATATTGAGGAGTTACTGCAAGTTTCTGGTGAGAGCATTACCAACAATGACCTTCAAGCTGGCAGAACAAGGAATTCACGTGCAACTGGAAAATAGTAATTCTGAAAACAAAGAACCCAAAGAATTTCTCTACAGATTTCCTTAGTAAAAGTTTGGTAACGATAACCGAAATTGTTGATCAAACTGTAGCAAATGATCCAGATTTTAAAAGGAGTGCTAAAGCAAGACAAGGCGTTTTGGATGCGATCTCTTGCTACAGATATTTGCTTAAGAAAAGAAAAAGAAAGTGAGAAATGAAACTACACGACTTTATTGCAAAAAGCAAGAATTTCAGAAGAGCCAGGACCTTCTCACAAAAAATGAATGTTACATTTCTGTGTGCATATGTTTGTGTGTTACTTATTTAACATATATTATTATGCAAATTAGTATAAAAGTAACTTAAAATTTAAGTAAAATCTGTTTCTGTTTGGTCGTGTGTTCCCCTTTCCTATTTTCTAAGTTAAAATGACCTGGTTTAATGCAATGCCGTTTCGTTCAGCACTTTGTCGTCTAGGAACGTATTCCCCACATTAAGCAGGGTCTTACTGTAGTTTTAAATGTTACTTATTGATCATAGATAAGTTGTTTTATGTAGTGTTACATAATTCTTTTCTTTACAGCTAAAATGATAACAAAAGATTACAAACATTTCTGCATTTAATAGAACCAGCTCATAAAGAGTCAAATTTATGTGACATTTCAATCTAAAGTTATCAGAATGATTGTCAGACGATTAAAGATTTATTTTTGGGATTGATTTCCATTAGAATCTATTTATTATATTAGCTTGAAAGTCTGCTAATAATTTCATTATACTGACAATAAATAGTGATTTGTTGTTCTTTTGACACATATCGGTTAAGCTTTCGATATTTCTTATTATATTTTTATTTCTTCCGACCGAGAAAGTCGTTCGTCTCCCGTTAAATCCTTTAGCTTTTTCTTTGGTTGTCAAACTTTATTTACTAGAGACTGTGTTGATACTTGTCATTTTATATTACATTTCTGACGAAAAGTAAATTGTTTTTTTTCTGGAGAGATTTTTCTTCTGTCATTAGTTTGAATGATCCAAATTGATCTAAAAGCTATTTTATTGAAGGCTTTGGCATTTCACTTATTATATTTGTGAAAGAGTGTAATATTTTTTAACTTAAAAAATTACAAATTAAAGATTATTCTGTACAAAATGCAATTAATAATTTTATAAAAATGAGAAATATTTTTTTAGTTTTATTAAAATTGTAATCAAACTAAAAGTTAAATATGATANAAATTTAAAAATTTGCAAGTTATTTTTGTTTATTTTAAATCATCATCATCATCATCAACTTCTGTTTTCTTCTAGGCTTTGCATTTGAGGAAGTATTTGCCAATTCTTTCTGTCCTTTCACTTTGTTCTTCTTTCACCTCCCCTCTCTCTCTCTCTGTTTCTTGATCATCCTTGCATCACCCTTGCACATAGTTATGAGCTTCTGAAGGATGAACTCTTAAGTTTTCACTATGAGAGATTGGGCACTTCTACTTGAATAGAGAGTACTCTTAGAAAAGTGTCTGGTTTCATAGAGAAATTTAATTACTTACTTAAAGTAGGAAAGTTTATCTTAGAATAAGAACTGGGGTGTGTATAATCCTGATTTCTTCAAGATAATTTTAGAAAGCCGAAGAATAACCTAAATTGAGTATTAAATGAAATTCTACTAATTCTATATTAAGTCTGTCAAGCCAATAATTGTTCTTTAAGTTACTTGTAAGAGAAAACATGATAAAAAGAGTAGTTTTAGATAAAGAACTAGTAAATCTATATATATATATAAAAATGGACATGTTAAAATGTATGTCCTATTAATACAGTATTTACTTAATTTATGGCTCATAGTATGTCTGTTGTGAGAAATAAATTGTTTAATAGTAATGTTTCTATATCAAATTTATATAAGTTGATAGAGTCTGCTTTAAATTCCTTGAATGACATTACCAGATATACTGTTTTATGAGAATTGCAGGTTTAATTCTGTTTCAATCATTTCTATTATCTATCTCAAGCAAACATTACAGATAAAAATTATATTTAAATTATAATTTAAGATTATAATCAGTCATTCAGAAAATAGCCATTAATGTCAGCCAGTAAGATGAATGAATCTTAATTTTAATTAACGAATAGACGTTTGCTGATTAGTGTTTGTCAGTAAATTATAACATAGATTAATTGAAAAGGATACACAATAGCCATTAACTAGAAAGCTTCATTAATTAATATGTAAAAAGTCGCTGCATCTACGCCAACTTTTTGCGTAGACTTTGTTTGATTTATCGACAAATAAATTTGTTTGGTATAAATATTGGTTTTTTGATTGTTTATCATTTCTTTATGATAATAGGTCATGCAAGAAAAAGTAATGTTTGTATATTGTTAGTGTGACATAGATAAAGTGTGATAAATGAAAGCAATTTTATTCTGAAAATAATATAATAATTGTATTGTGAAAATAACTTATTTTCTTCTACGTAGATAATTCAATATGAATGTCATTTAATGAAGTGTTTTTATGATTTATTTAGATAAGGAAGTTGTCAAAATCATTGTTATATTTATTAAAATATCCTGTTTGAATGTTTACCTTTTAACATTGTTGATTTAAAAAATTATCTATTGTCTGTGAGACATTTAAATGCCAGACATGCATCAGAATTGATTATATTTAACAGAAAAACTTGACTAAGGCCAAACAATAATATAAACTGTTGGATTTTTTTATTGCATTGTATTTAAATTTAAAAATTTGCAAGTTATTTTTGTTTATTTTAAATCATCATCATCATCATCAACTTCTGTTTTCTTCTAGGCTTTGCATTTGAGGAAGTATTTGCCAATTCTTTCTGTCCTTTCACTTTGTTCTTCTTTCACCTCCCCTCTCTCTCTCTCTGTTTCTTGATCATCCTTGCATCACCCTTGCACATAGTTATGAGCTTCTGAAGGATGAACTCTTAAGTTTTCACTATGAGAGATTGGGCACTTCTACTTGAATAGAGAGTACTCTTAGAAAAGTGTCTGGTTTCATAGAGAAATTTAATTACTTACTTAAAGTAGGAAAGTTTATCTTAGAATAAGAACTGGGGTGTGTATAATCCTGATTTCTTCAAGATAATTTTAGAAAGCCGAAGAATAACCTAAATTGAGTATTAAATGAAATTCTACTAATTCTATATTAAGTCTGTCAAGCCAATAATTGTTCTTTAAGTTACTTGTAAGAGAAAACATGATAAAAAGAGTAGTTTTAGATAAAGAACTAGTAAATCTATATATATATATATATAAAAATGGACATGTATGTCCCTATATTTCACTTTTCCGCCAAAACTACACATTGCATGTGAATGGTGTTTGTATGTGGTAGTAACCCCAAGTCTCCATTCGTGCAGCAGGGGGGTTGCGTCTCGATAGCTATAAGGGTGCGGGAGATATGGGGCTGAAAGTGGTTGAAAGTGGCTTTCTATTTCGAATGTTTTGTTCGAATTTGTTCAAACAAATATTGGTTTGATTATAGAACAATTGTAAACGTTCCAGAAACATTGAAAATAGTTCGTTTGACTTGACGTGAACAGGAGACATTCAGAAACAGAATCGGGATGAGGTCTCTAATTAGTTTGGAAACGGGGGACCTAATTCTTGCATTCTGTGAAAACGGGTAAGATTGGCTATAATGTAATTATCTTAATCTTCACTATCGTTGCTTTTTAAAAACCCAGGGAAGCAGGTCCTTGCAGCTAGATTCTAGATTACTTAGAAAAACAGTCTTTTATATATATATAAAAAAAAACTATATTACATACAAATGTACGAACAAATAAAAACCCAGCGAAGCGGGTCCTTGCAGCTAGTTTTATATAAAAACATCTACAAAGATATTGAAACCTGAATTAATAGTAATAAGCCAAATGACTACAGGATTAAATCGGGCTACTTTTGTACGATTATTTAAATGATCAGGGATATTTGCATAATAATAGCATTTATAATATGAATACAATATCACAATATGCATTTTATAAACAACAGTCCTTTTAAAATTTAAACAAACATCAAATTACACTGTAGGCAAAGATATTTAATTTGGAATCTGGTGAATTAGGAATTCTTCTCAAACTACACTTTACAAACCTTTAACATGCAGTCTATTTTATTAAAGTAATCTAATGTTTTTGGTCAATTAATTGACCTTTATCAGAATCTTTATCTTTATTTACTCCCGATACCGCCAGAGCATAATTGAGTTAAATACAGAGATATATCAAAGCACAGGTAAATACATACATAATAACAGAGAAATAACGTACAAACAATATGACAATAGAGAAGAAGTATGAACAGATGGTGAGATGACCGATACAAATCAACCAATATGATACATAACTTGAGAGTAGAATAACATGTACAGTAGTATAAAATAGACAATACTAATAGTAATAATAAACATTACACAGATATATGCTGCAGCAGAACAAATAATGATATGTACAATAATGTGCAGGGAGCAAATGAAAATAGTGCCTGATGACAGACTTGACCAACCTGACAGAGTGACCTACAGAATGACAGAGCATATGTGATACTTATGAATCAATTTTTTGAATGCTTTGTACATGTCACTATCCTTAAGAAGGACATGAAGTTTATAAGGCCAAACAATTTTTTGATTTATGATGAACCAAACTGATTATGAAATATGCAGAAGCCTGACATTCACAAGAGCAGTCTAGCAGGACTGGCTATAAACTTTAGAGAATCATATAAAGTCTCCACAGCATGGAGAGTGGGTGCATTATGAACATATCAACAAAAGAAAAAAGGACAGACAGCTAAAAAATAGGCATCAGTTGGAGCCCGTTATAACATCAATTGTTTATTTATCAATCTTTCTATTTATTTATTTTATTATTATTATTAATTTTTATTTTTACTTTTGTTTTTGTGTATAGTTAGTGTATGCGTATATTTATACGTTATCAGTCTGTAGATTTTATTTATCCATTTTCGAACTTGCACAATAGGTGTTAAGAAAACTTTTAAAGTTAAGAACGTTCCATAATGAGTTTTGTTCATCATAAATCTAAAAATTCTTCAATCCTGATGAAGGTCAATTGATTGACCGAAAATGTTAGATTACTTAATAAAATAGACTGCATGTTAAAGGTTTGTAAAGTGTAGTGATTCAGGAATGTTATCTTAATATATACTGCTGCTGTAGCAATCAAATTTAATTGCAATATTAAAGAATAAGGATTGAAAACTGTAATCTTAAATATCATATATAAATGTAAGGTGCAGAGTGATCATAATTAAAGTATCCCTATTTCACATTGTGAGGCAGGATATATAACAGTCCAAAGTTTACCAAATTTGATGTTTCCAGAGATGTGGAAGAGATTTCCACGGGAAAATTTAGTTTCAAAACTTATTACCACAGCCTTGTGGCACTTTGAGTGACAAAAAATACTTTGTGCAATTTCTTAAGGTGTTGTAGATCTTGAAGTGCATATTGCTATTGTTTTCATGAAATACCTTCACAACAAAGGAAAACTCAGGCATAGTAAAATACCATCACTGCTAACCATCATTGCTGATCTGTAGTAATACATAAGATATTTCACATGTCTTAGGCAATTTATACTCAGAAGTTGACTGTAGCATGTGTGCATTATGCATATGTTATGTAGTTTTTGCCACTCACAGTGCGTTAAGTCCCATAATAAGTTTTGGAAGTAAATTTTTACTCCACAGAAATCTTTTCCATATGTCTGGAAATATTAGCATATTAAATTTGGTTGCATTTTGACCACTGCACATCCCTCCAGATGGTGTTGAGTAGGAGTACTTTAATTATGATAACCTGGTGTATTTGTAATGTATTTAAATGAAACTTCACAAGAACTATTAAAAATGTACTCAAAATTTAATGAATTCCACTTTATTTTTGCACTTCTAAGTTGAACATGTGAGTGTGAATTGAAGATACCTAACATCTTCAACCATTCAATCTTGTGTATTAGTATGAAATTTTATGAGAATTACATGTATTTATAATATTTAAATAAATATTAATATTAAAATTTTTATATTTTAAAGGTGTTGAAATCTGCATCATGATAAAGGAAGAGATTATCTGTGAGGGAAATAATGTCAGTCTACCTTCCGATGAAGAAGTGACAATGGTGGCTCATGTTCTGCCTTCTGACGAAACTGCTCTCAAATTCTTATGGGATTTAGGACTCGGAGAACTGAGAAAAACGAATAGTCCATCCTTACGCTACAATTATCGTGAACCTGGGATGTATGTGCATCTTATATATATTTTTTTTAATATAAGAAAATTATTAGACTAGATTTTGCTTGTCAGAGAGATTAGTAAAAACGAGTTAGACTTGCGTAACTAGTTATATAACAAAGAAACAAAGAATACACAAAGATTACACTGTCTTGACTCACGGAAGGTCAGCGCTGAAAAGGGGAGAGTGAAACGAGGTCATCATCTCTAACGGTTCCCCGAGAGGTCAACAGTGCCACCAACCTTTTATTACATAACGGAAGAATGTCTACAAAATATCGCGACACAATGCATTGTACATAACGATATCGTATAACATTAGACAATAATTTCGATCGTTGATTCCAACAAAAATATCTTTCTATTTACAAATATAGAAATTTTATCTGTATATTTTCTGTCATACTTCTAAAAAGAACAAGTTTGAAACTATTCTTCATGATGATTATAAAGTTATGTTATAAAGTGAAGTTCATTAACTCTAAAACTTTAATAAACTTGTTTTAGCATTAATGAAGTATTAAGAACAAATTTAAAATTCTTGTATTTTAAATTATCTTGATAATTTTGAAAATTTATGTAAAATTTTAATTTTATTCGCACTTTTTAAAATTGACAGTTTTATAATATATTTAATGAGCATTATTTACTTTTGCAGATATGTTGCCAACATTACAGCCCTGAATCATGTCAGCATGGTGTTATCGGGACAGATTGTGATACACGTGGTTCAGAAAGTGGGAAATTTGACTTCGATTCGTCATTCCGGTTCGATATTAGTGAATCGCACAACCATTTTCCATGCACAATATTGGTTTGGCACAAATTTGACCTTCGAGTGGGATTTTGGTGATGGAACCAAAAAATTGATAACTAGTTCTGATAAAGTTCAACACACTTATACAAGGTATTATAAAATATTCACAGAAAAATTTAACTTAATTTGTTAAATTAACTGGAATTTTGAAATTTCTTTGAATTGGATTTTGAAACCTCTAAAGATTTAATACTTAAGAGATATCCTATTAATCAGATGTGAATAAACAATTAAATTGTTCAAACATATGAAAGGCAATAGTAGAGTGATAGATTTCAATTTCTGACTGCCTTTTCCAATATTTAAATAATTGCCGACTTGTGTATGGTACAGACAATTTGATTGTTTACTGTCATATACAAGTATAAAATTTTAAGAATGTAAAATTTAAGTGAATATGTTTAATACAGTTTAAAAAATATATGACATTTTAATTTTAAGTATCAAATAGATTATGTATACAGAAGAATTTCTTATACAAAATATCACATCCACATTTTAAACCAAATTGATGAAACTTGAAAAATATGTAGAATTAATGTTGTGAACTATAGCAAAATATATTAATAAATGTGAATTTTGTACAGTGATAATACTGTTAAATTTCCTAATTGCATATGTCATTGACCTGCTGCTTCTGACAGATGCAGGTTTGAATATTTGTTGTAACATCAGAAATTTCCTAAGCAGTTTTACCAGTGGGCCACACTATTACCATCCCTGCAATGCATTGTGTGCCTGACTGAATCCATGATACCCGAGAAAACGCTTATTTCTTTCAGGAAGGAAAACCTTAAGAAAGCAGAAAGTATTGTTAAATTTTTAAAAGGTTTATAATTTATAAAACTAATAATTCATAAATTACAAATTGAATGTACACTTTACAATTAATGTCCATATTTGTATGAATTGTTTTATGATTTGTGTTATTTGGAAAAGTTAAATTTATTAACGGAATTTTGATTTTCTGTTGGTAAATTTAAAATATGAATATTTTTAAAATTATGGAATGGATTTTTTTTTTTTGTTATTTGCTTAATATTTTACACTTTCAAAACTGGACTTTTAACCAGGGCTGTGGAGTCGCGTAAAAATCTACCGACTCCGACTTTTCCTTACCAATCTGAATCCGACTCCAGCTAAAACACCAAAACTCCACGACTCCGACTCCACAGCCCTGCTTTTAACTGTGTCATAATGTTTAAATTAGTATAGAGTATAGAATGAGTATATTATAGCAATTAGCATGAGGTGATAACTAATAATTGAAGTTCAAATTAATAAATATCAAAGTTTATTCATTTTATTTAATGAATTATATCATGATGTGTATGATTATAATTTAATGCACATGATTTGATTTATTTGTACAGAAGATACTAAGAAAGACTTTGATCTTTATTTTGCTAGCAATAGGCTTACTTTTATTAGAATAGAATATAACAAATGTTAATGTATTAAGTAATTTTAGATTTTTACTGGAAGTTGAGAAAACAGTTTGATTTTTCAAACAAAATAATTATTCATGATTAAAAAATAGTTAAAAATAAGGACAGAATTGAAGTTTCTATTGGAATGAGTGGATAAAAAATTTAACTGAGTGTTAATTTAATAGCGAAAAGGAAATTATTTTAATTAAATTAATTAATTTATAATTAAAACTTAAAAGAGATCAAATTAAATCAACCACTAATGAAATTAGTGGCCAAATTAATTTTTTTTTTTAGCAATTCATCTGTTTTAAATAGACCTACTTCATTGTTTTGCAGTGAATTGACTTACTGCCAGTCTCTGTAGTATTTTATTGATGCATTTGTCTAGAGTTTTGCTTGGAATTGCTTAAAATTTTTTAAAATAGTTTTATTAAAAAAGTAAATACACAACAAGAGTAGTACTAAAGTTAATATGTTAATATTTTAATTAATGATTTAAGCAAATTTTCTGCTTTAAAAAGACTTCTATCCATTGCCACTTACTTTTTTGAAGTGTAGATTTATTTAGAATAAATCCTGTGGTAGAGTGACTGTTGGAAATTAAGATATGACCATTACTAATGAAAAAAGTAATTAAATGTTTACAATTTATTGCATTGAAAAAGTGGCTCATGTTCTTAAGTTATGATTAAAAGATCTCAAAAAAGTAATTTTTGAGCAATTTAATTAATTGTATTTATTTTCATTTTTGCAAATGGAAATGTCGTGTAAATGACAAAAGATTTCCACCCCTCGATTAACAGTATAACCCAGATACATAAAATATAATATAAAAAAATACAAGTGTAAACAGAAAATAAAGAAAACAAATGCATTTAAAATGACTAAAATCTTCATGTAGTAAATTTTCAAAATCTATCATATTACAAGAGATACAATAAAAGTATGATCTTTGAGAAATGCTCAGTCTGTAAAAGGGAGTAAAACACAAACACATGATGTGTTAGGCAAGTTTCAGTGAGGAATTGTTAATCGTAGCCAATCCGACTGTGTATTTCCATTAAAATATTTATGTAAGTGCAAACGGTTGAAGTATTTGACGCACTCTTTAAAAATTGGAAGACCTAGTCCGGATTTGGCGACGTTTGGATGATAAGTACAGTAAATTTAACATTAAATAAATTTTGTCAAGTTCTTTTGTGATGTTATTTAAAAAAGAAGGGGCAACTATGTCGTAAATTGATAAACCATAATATACAATAGACTGAAAATTTGGGAAAAAATAGCATGGAGCACATTATTCGATATGTTTACAGAATTGCCAGAACATTAGACAAATAGAACATTATATTAACAGGAATCAAGATAATTATGATGATGAGTATAATCATCACTAATATTCAGGATTTAGGATATTTTAATTTTGGATTAGGATGCTAATTAGGACACACTATTCTATGTAGAATAATTTTAAAGTTATTTATAAAGATTTTGTTTTATTTGAATGCAAATTATTTAATGAAAAAATGTTATAAATTAATAATTCTAACTTGTAAAATTTACTTGACATTTGATTCATCTTTCTTATGCAGAAGATGTGTTTCAAAATGTTGAAAATGTTGGTTCAATTTAATTGAAATTCTATACGTTTTCTTTTTAGGAATCCTGTGACGTATGTTATATGACATATACGTGTCATATAACATATGTCACAGCCTTTATTGGAATGTATTCGAAACTTTAAACATTAGAACACAAAGGCATTCTATTTATAGAATGGTTTTCCATTTCACAGTTCCTGAACAGGGCTGATGAGATAGTGGTCCAAAATGTTAGATTATTGAATTTCTTTGTTGGAAATTTTGCATTGATGTGTAATTTCTTATTTATATTAAAATTAATATAAGATGACAACATATCCACCTATCTCTAGTCAAATTAGCAACTAAACATTAATGTTGCAGAAAATATCCAATACTTCGGCTGATCGTTTGCCATTAATCCAAAAATAATTTTATAACTGTATTAATTATTGTTTAATTTGAATTCTTAAATGTATTAATTATTGTCAGGAGGATGTGAAAGATTGTTAAGTGTGTTCACAAGATAATGCTATGATTTCTTTCTAGCCTTGTCCTTGTTTTGGGCTTTTCATTCTCTTGGTATTAACTTGTATGTCATTATATTTATATTGTATATATTTTAATATGTATTTATAACTTATTTATATAGTATGCAGCAGATTAACCTGATAGTTATTAAATATGGCCATGACTGAAACTTTAGGGATGGGAGAGTGATCTTGAGCGCAAGTGCTGTATAACTCAAAGCCATTTAGTAACAGTTGAAATGTGTACTATTTGTGTATAATAATAATAAAAATAATAATAATACAATTTTGTTAATTTTTACCACATGGTAAAAAAAAACAAGTAAAAGAAGACACAGTTTCAGAAAGAGACAATAAAAATACATTTTGTTTTATAGAATTCTCATAAGTTATACAAGCAACCTTACACAGTGTTAAGGCTACTGCTTGGTGGTGTAGCAACTTTTGGAATGATTGATCACATTTCTTCCGAGATGAAGTGCAGCTGTAAGAGTAAATTTAGTTTTTTACATCAAAAAGCTTCACCTCTTCCTTGAATTGGAGTTATGCCATGTGATATTGAATACCAGGATCTGTGGCTTCAGCAGTATGGGGTAATGGTTCACACTCTGGCATAGTTGAAGTGGACTGTTGGGGATGAAGTTGCAAAAAGTATGATCTGTAAAAAGTCATGCAAAGATTTAGGGAATAATTGAAAGAACATGTAGACAACAAAAGATTCTCGCTCACAGATACAATATTTACATATTTTTGAATCTCTTATACAATAAGAAATCATTTAATCTTAAGTTAAATTCTTTGAGATTAAGGGTGCAACTATGCAGACGCGAGTGAGTGAATTTTCCGAGCGAGTGAGAATATGTGGCGAGAAGAGGTGAGACGCGATAAATATCAAAACCTGTCAGATATGTGCGAGAACCAGAAATTCGCTCTCGCCAGCGTTATTTCTCGCTTCTTGTTTGTGCATGGTTTTCCTTTGCGAAAACTAAATCGCTCGCAACCTCTCGCTCGCTTTAACTTCGCATCTGCATACTTGCACCCTAAGTACAGGATTATGATAAATTAATTTAGCATAATAACATGAAGTGTATATTATTTTAATTTAAAAACTATCAGGTTAATTTACTCCACCCTTTATTACATAATTTTAAATTTCTATATCCAACTTTAAATTCTTAACAAATGTTCCATTTTCAAATATTTGCAATTTCTATCTGAAAAATGATCTAAAATAGATAGATAAAAAACTTTTTAATGAATAAATTTGGATTTTTGAAGAAAGCAATTTTATTTAATATATTTTATTCGTTATTTTATTTCAGTGTTGGAGAATATTGGATGACCGTCATTGCTCACAACAAATATAGCTGTGCCAGCCTAAAGACCAACGTTTTTGTCCTGTACCAGTTTTGCCAAAAGCCACAGATCAAATTCATAGATCAAACTATAGAAAAGAAGGTATTGTATAAAATTTTAAATAATTGAATTTTTTGATTCGTTAAAAATATAGAATTATTGAAAGAAATATAAAATGCAGGCATTTAAATGTATTATATATTAAATGGTAAATTTATGCTATTGAATGCTGCATTACAAAATTCATTTCACTGAAATTAAATTTAGAATCATGACGCTGCACATTTCTAGCAAACCTTTACTCGTCTGTCTACCGAAATATATTTTACATTCATGAGTTGCCGCATATGTTTGACACGCTTCGTTAACTATTGCAACACTGCAGTGGCTCTAAAAATAATGATATTAATTTGATTTAAAGAGAAAATTACCTTTTACACGCTTCTTTTGAATCAATAAACGAGTTTCAGAAAAATATATTTAATCTAGAAATACTATATTTTGTAAAAATTTTTATGGAACAACTTTAAAGTGTTGACTTAATGATGTTTTTTTGCTTTTTTAATGGAGTTTTTGATTACATAAGTTTGATTGTTATTTGTATTACAGTATTAGCAATGTGTATTAAAATATATGTTTATTAATTAATATAATAGACTAATTAGAAGTGGAAATGTTCCTTTATAAAAAGGAATGACTCAACAGTTATTCTAATTTTCATCAAAAGAATGCTGAAATGATATTCGAAAAGTAATATTTAATAAGTATAAAATTTCTTTCACAATTGATTATTTAATTACTTTAAGATTTTATACCAATAAATATTAAATTGTAGCGTATGCAAACTGTTTTTAATTCTGAAGTTGTAGTGCAGAAATTATAATCTCTGATGTATCCATTGAGCTACTGAACCATATTATGAAAAAACATTGTTAAGTTTAGGATGAATTATGGTCATCATGAGGAAAATGTCCAAACTTTACATCAAATGAAAGCTTATGATGAGAGGGGATATTACTAGTTTCAAGTTGGAAAACTAGAGGAAACGGGTCATTTTCATAGTATACATTACACTTATTTTTATGCAAAGTATTTCTAATAATTGTAGACAAGATGATGCTTTTGAGAACTTATTGCACGGTAGTTGTTTCTCCTGTTCTTTTGAAATTCTGAAACTTTGTGCAAGCAATTGCAGTGTTTATGTTGCTATTGTAAGATAGAATCATCAATGTTTGTATTAAGAAAATCAAGTAGAGTAAAACACATTTGAAAAGTGATACTTGTTGCATTTGATTGGTGTCTTCTACTGTCAGTTTATTGTGTTTTTACAAGTTAAGTGCAAAAATCAAGTGATCCATAGAGGATGAAAAAGTGCAATTTTTGCCTCTTTTTTCTAGTTAGCTGACTTGAAACTGGTACTGTTGTATTCCTATCATCACAAGCTTTAATTTAATATATAGTTTGGGCATTCTCACTAGGGTGAGTGGAATTTGTCTCAAACTTGGTATTGCCCTTTGGAACACAAACTATAAATATCATAAAACAGTTTACAGAGAATAAATTTGAAAAAAATAAATTGTAAAGATGTCTTCAGAGATTATTTTCCTGTTAAATATGGCATTTGTAGTTTAAGGTTAGGCATACAGTTTTAGTGTATGAGCGTGTCTCTTGAGTTCTCTGTTAGAGAACTCAAGAGACACATCCTCATGACATACAAAATGTAGATCTGATAGTGCAGCCTTCTCAGAATCCAGTTTTAATGACATGTTAATTCAAAATTTGTTAAGTATTGGTATTTCAATAATATAAAATACATAAATATTGATTTATTAGTTTATTTTTTTGATAATGTGTGGTGAAAGAACCAGGGCTGTGGAGTCGCGTAAAAATCTACCGACTCCAACTCCGACTTTTCCTTACCAATCCAACTCTGACTCCGGCTAAAACACCAAAACGCCACGACTCCGAGTCCACAGTCCTGCCAGGGCTGTGGAGTCGCGTAAAAATCTACGGACTCCGACTCCGACTCCGACTCTGGCCAAAACACCAAAACTCCGCAACTCCGACTCCACAGCCCTGGAAAGAACCCATTTATTCAGTTGACTTTTTAGTTATTTTAAGGTTATTATTTTTTAAAATTATGTTAAATTAAAATCAAATACCTTGATTTTAGTATATTCAGATATATAATTAACATTAACATTAAAGTTTATTAGTGATTTAAAATCGAAATAACTTTCTTTTATATCAAACAATAATTAAAATTTCAGATTCAATACAATCATGACATCATGCTGGAAGTTGACCTGACCACGTCTTGTGAATTAAGTAATGATGTTCTTTATTTCTGGAAAGTTTTTGATGAGAGACAGAAGGAAATGAATTTTTCTGAAGAAATTACAACTCAGAGACAACTTATAATTCCTAAGGAAATTTTACCAATTGGAAAATATATTATAGAATTAAAGGTAATTGCAGTACAATTTGATAGTACAACCGTAGTACAATACTGGAATATAATGCATTATTTAGAATGATTTGAATATTGGAAAAATTTTTCTCTGTTTCTTGTGGAAAAAATTTGAACTTATTTTCAATATATTCAAATAACTCTATCTCATTTTCTCAAATTATACCAAATCACCACAACACATCTACATACGTAGCAATCCATAATTTTAGCATGATGTTAAATACAGGTATCTTTTGATTAACGTGATTTATAAATATCTTGATGCTATCGCATATATCAAAATTGTGCTAATCAGATATGGTGGTACCTCAGTACTCAACCGAACAATTACGACATATTATAAGAAATTTTCTGTTACATCAAGGGAAAATTTCTGAAGACCAGAAATATCTGGCAAATTTGCTATTTATTTGTATTTTGTCATCTGTAAGAAAAGTTTTTTTATGATAAAAATGTGTAACTAATTTAAAAATAAAATGAAACCTTACAGCCGCTTACCTTTGTCAGACAAAATTTTACTTGATCCAGTTTGTTTTTTTCATGTAATGCATGTGGAATACAATCATCATGTTGGTGACATACTAAGATTTGTTGCAAGTTTACTAGTTTTTATTTGTCAATTTTTAACTATTTCTTTCTGGAATTTTTCTTCATTGACAGTTTTTGGATGCCCTATATGTTTTGTATCCTTTAATTCAAAATTTCCCAAACAAAACTTACAAAACCACATTTGACATGATCAATGTTTAAGAGCATCTTCCCCATACACTACAAGTATTTTTTACTGTTTGTATAGCATTATATCCTTTACAAAACTTAAAAAGCATACATAATATGCTTGGTATGCGTTTTATCTGCAGACATTTCAATTTGATTTTACACATACAATATGTGAAGTAAAGTTTCAAAATAAGCTTCTAAACAAAGAATACAATACCATATTAGCAGTAATGTGCTAAATTTCACAACTATTGTAACTAAACTACAGATCTATGTCAGAAATCACCCTCGGCACAAAAATAAGAAATTCACCAACAATTAATTTATTAAGAAAAACATCTATGTTAAATAAAGATGGTTGTTAAAGCTTGCATTAATTTAAACTTTTACTGAGTATATAAAGCAGCAATCCCTTTATATATATACTTATGTTTCTGTCGAGCCCACCTCTCCAGTGATGTGATACTGACTGCACCTTTTTCTGCCTCTCCCTTGGGATTCATGGTAACACTTGTGATATTGCATCCATCTGGTTTATTGATCGCACTCGATAGCTCACTAACACATTCACTTTCACTCATTATTGTCACCATATATAGAAAAGAAAAGAGAGGAGGATTGAGGCACTCCTAACCTTTCACAGATGCCCAGAATCCTTTTGGGAATCAGAATGTGCATTTAAGAACCTCCCCACAAGTGGTTCGGTTCGCTGCCGGGACAGCTACCATTTAAATGACCGCCTATCCAAGGTCACCCAAGCTCAGTTGGTTGCTTGGCTTGGGTCGCCCCTTCATCCATACTAAGAAACCTTCTTTCCATTTACAGTTCTCCAGGACCAATATGGTCATCCAGATCATCATCAGACCTTTGAGCACCACCCTACCCCCACGACAAGGAAGTTGGCCCTATGCTGTTGGGTGACTCTGCCGACTGCCTGTCATGGTAGATAACAGTTAGTGGGATCCTGTAAGCCACTACAGATGCTATCCCCTGGCCACCAGCAAGGCTTCAGCAACAGTAGTATGACTCCTTGCCTCACTGGCTTTGGCACGCAGGCCGTGGCCCTCTAGCCAGCACTGGTGTGCAAAACTCGGTCTTCCTCCTGGGAAACTGCTTTGCTGTTTACCAGACAGGAGCTTTACGTGGTCTGTGCTTCCACAGGCTAAGGCAAATCAACTGCACTCAACCACCTTTGCATTCAAAACATCAGCCCATGTCACTGGGGTGGATGCGGGAGTTAGCTTCGTGTGGCTAAGATTCCAAATGGGTAAGGATTGTCAGATCCATGGTTCTTGGATTCTGTTGCCGGGATGGCAGGACTATCAACAGGTGTTGGACAAGTCCAAACAACTACAATCCACGTATCTCGTTTGAAAACAAGGCCTCCGTGGATTGCCTGTTAATAGCAGTTACAGCAACCATACCCAATGGCAGGCTAACCGAGAAACCTCCATGGCCTTCTGCATGCCAAACCAACAAGGACAGCCACTGCATTACAACCATGTCCAGTCTTCCCACTGAAAGATGTGGATATGCATGCCACTATGCCAAGGCATAGTTTACTACCATCTGTCCCAATCAGGCATAGATTCTGGGCAAGGGAAGAATAGTAAACCTTGTCAGATGCATCATTAAATGCAGTTATGATCAGCAGACTCCACCAAGGCCTGTCAGGCGGTCCCAGGGCCGACATTTAAGACATCAGGGTTATTAACCTTGACACGTCCAATTGGCTGTCTATAAAAACGCCTTGACCTGTGGTACTTATTCAACAGGAGTCAAGGTTGGGCAACCTTAACATGCCAAGTGGACAACATCCAATAAGTTTATTTAAGATGATGGGATTCTTATACCTTGACACATCCAAGCGGGAATGCAAAAATGTCCCTACTACCACCAGAACCTTTGGCCTGTGAATAAACCTCCATCAATGACTGCAGCCAAGGCGTGTTCACCTCTCTCTGTTAAGCCCCCCACCACTACAAGGCTGGCAACCCTAATTCAGGAAGGCACAAAGTTATGGCTGAAGGTATCCAAGAATTCTCAACGAGAAGAGCTTATCACTGTATTGTTAGGTTGACTAAATTGTCAACTTAATCTGTCAACCTAATCGATACAGCAGGACTAGATGTAGACAAGCAGGATATTGAGGAGTTACTGCAAGTTTCTGGTGAGAGCATTACCAACAATGACCTTCAAGCTGGCAGAACAAGGAATTCACGTGCAACTGGAAAATAGTAATTCTGAAAACAAAGAACCCAAAGAATTTCTCTACAGATTTCCTTAGTAAAAGTTTGGTAACGATAACCGAAATTGTTGATCAAACTGTAGCAAATGATCCAGATTTTAAAAGGAGTGCTAAAGCAAGACAAGGCGTTTTGGATGCGATCTCTTGCTACAGATATTTGCTTAAGAAAAGAAAAAGAAAGTGAGAAATGAAACTACACGACTTTATTGCAAAAAGCAAGAATTTCAGAAGAGCCAGGACCTTCTCACAAAAAATGAATGTTACATTTCTGTGTGCATATGTTTGTGTGTTACTTATTTAACATATATTATTATGCAAATTAGTATAAAAGTAACTTAAAATTTAAGTAAAATCTGTTTCTGTTTGGTCGTGTGTTCCCCTTTCCTATTTTCTAAGTTAAAATGACCTGGTTTAATGCAATGCCGTTTCGTTCAGCACTTTGTCGTCTAGGAACGTATTCCCCACATTAAGCAGGGTCTTACTGTAGTTTTAAATGTTACTTATTGATCATAGATAAGTTGTTTTATGTAGTGTTACATAATTCTTTTCTTTACAGCTAAAATGATAACAAAAGATCTACAAACATTTCTGCATTTAATAGAACCAGCTCATAAAGAGTCAAATTTATGTGACATTTCAATCTAAAGTTATCAGAATGATTGTCAGACGATTAAAGATTTATTTTTGGGATTGATTTCCATTAGAATCTATTTATTATATTAGCTTGAAAGTCTGCTAATAATTTCATTATACTGACAATAAATAGTGATTTGTTGTTCTTTTGACACATATCGGTTAAGCTTTCGATATTTCTTATTATATTTTTATTTCTTCCGACCGAGAAAGTCGTTCGTCTCCCGTTAAATCCTTTAGCTTTTTCTTTGGTTGTCAAACTTTATTTACTAGAGACTGTGTTGATACTTGTCATTTTATATTACATTTCTGACGAAAAGTAAATTGTTTTTTTTCTGGAGAGATTTTTCTTCTGTCATTAGTTTGAATGATCCAAATTGATCTAAAAGCTATTTTATTGAAGGCTTTGGCATTTCACTTATTATATTTGTGAAAGAGTGTAATATTTTTTAACTTAAAAAATTACAAATTAAAGATTATTCTGTACAAAATGCAATTAATAATTTTATAAAAATGAGAAATATTTTTTTAGTTTTATTAAAATTGTAATCAAACTAAAAGTTAAATATGATAAATTAATCTCAGATAAGAAATTTATTAAACATTAAATAAAAATAATTTAATTATTTTTAATTTAAAATATTTTGAATGTGTAATTTTAATTTTTAGTGAAAATTTTTATATAATTAATAAATGTAACTGTCATTTCTTAATATTGGAAACTTGTCCAAGTTGTAATAGGAAAATTCGAAAGTTTTCTTATTACAATTTTGCAATGTATGCACTTTGAATCGAATGGCACATCGCAAACCAATATGCAAATTATTTCTACACCATATCTGTTGTCACCAGCAACAACAATTCTATAGTTCTTGCATATTACTCGTGTTGCACAATGAGAAATCATTCAGACTTTGTAAACTGCAAAATACAAGTTGCCATTTTCATTTATGACACTTCCTAGAGGTAGCAGCACATAAGACTTTTGAATGCTTAAGATGAAACTCGGACAGTTACTGTATCCACTGGCAATGTCTCATACTTCTTGGATAATAATTAACATAATTACAGTAATTAAAAATGGTGGCATTCATTTTGGAAGATCCTTTATAAATCGTTATGACAGATATTTGCATCCTGAGGAATTCAAAATGTTATGGTGATTTTTCTCTTCATGTTTCCGACATGAAATTGCTCACATTTAAACTTAATCAAATTTCCATTCTTGTGTCTTTCAGTATTATTAACCTGTAATACTAAAAGACACAGGTTTATATTTCCATAAAAACAAGTAATTTATTTTATTTTCATTAAGTTACTTTGTTTTATCTGAAAAATTAAATTGCATATTACAGAAAATTTTAGTTTATAAACAAGAATGTGAGAAATGGATTTAAAGAAATTGAGACAATTTTTTTATTGTTGGTAGGCTACAGGAAATCATCTTATAGACTGTAGTCTGCTGGCTACTGTTTCCCTCTCACCATCCTAAATGCATTTCGTTTAACTTAAACTTAAATTTATTAAAGAGTAATTGAGAGTCTTGTAATGTTAATAATTCATTCCGTTATTTCTTTCAGGTTCAAATGAATAGAACAATGGTTTATGCAATAGAGACAACAGAGATTACCATCGTTCCATCAAATATAATAGCCATATGGGAAGGAGGTATTTTGAGACAAGTTGGATTTGAGGATGATATCACTCTGAACATAATCAGCAATGTTAATTTAGAAGAAACTAACTGCAGGTGAGTTAATTTCTTGCTTTTATGATCATTGATAAAAAGTTTAAAATCTAGTTTAAGTGATAAAATATTTGTTTCAGTTTAAATTGGTACTGTACAAGTTTTCCATTTAACCATCAACAATGTTTTAAAAATGGCTCGTCATCTGGGACAATAACCAGATTTTTTCCATCTATTAATTTTCATGTCGGATTGTTAAATTTGAAATTGTCTGCTGTCAGTTTTAAGTTAAACATTTATCATGATAGAAAGTTGCAAGCTTCGATGTTGCAAGAGCTAGAGATAACAGAGAAATCTCACATGCTGCCGTAAGTATTTTATTTGTCTTTTATCATTCTTATTATTGAAATATTCTTGGATTGTGTTTTACATATTTCTTATCTGAATAGGATTTTGATTAAAAGATACAATCACTTCAGTCATGTGGTCAGGCAGGACACAAGACTTATATTTTTAGCTATCTGCAAGGGATGCAGAGACGTGAAATTAGAATTTCAGTGGAAACTGTGGCTCGTGCAAGATGGAAATCATAATCTTTATATTAGTGAGTATTTTTTTAACATTTAAAAGTTTAATTTTATTAATTATAAATATATTCACTTTGTTTTAGGTGAACATAATTGTGTCCAGGCCGATGGCTCGACCTTCTTTATTCATGCCGACAACATCACAACGGCAAAGCCAATGAATCCTACTGGACACTGGACATTAGAGTCAACAAACAGTAAGGAAGGTAATGTTTTTCTTTTACAGTATTTCTTATTTTTGATAGAAAAGAATTACTCAAGACTCACTTGAACCTTTAACTGGTGTGTATTATGATTAAATCTTGTAAATCAAATGTTTTCTTAACCTCTTCTTCAGGCATCGTTTAATTGCAAACTAGCCAGATCCTCTAAAATGAATTTGAATATGAAATTTGAACATATTCAAATGATGGACATTTCATATGATTACCTTCTCTGTGCATGCGTTCTCGTGATGTGATTAAATATGTACATAACATAATGATCATCATCAAAAAATGGCTTTAATATCAAGTTGGAACTCCAAATAAGTGTGCACGTGTATGAGTTCAAATAATGAGAACATATGTGCATGCATTCCTGTGTTTTCATAAATAAGGTAGAATGTTAACTATTGGTGTCAATACAGTCTGCCATGCTATTGAAAGATCGATGTCATCTATAAAATTAATGCACATGGATGTGCCATATGCTTTAAAAATCTAAATTGCCTGTAGCCATTTGAGGTGCTCCGGGTGTGGGGTGGTAACGATGATTTGTGCTCTGGTGAAGTCTGCAACAATGTCAGGGTCTGTGGCATATGNAAAGTTTATTTAATGAGTGATATATATAATTTTTTTTTCTTTTGTATATCGGCTTCTTTATTCTTTTAATTTTCTTTATTTGGCAGTTGATTTTTAAATGCAAGCGAAGTAAACTAGCTTCAATTTTCAGTTGTTTTTTTTTAATAGAGATATTCCTCCCTTAAATCTTTTATTGTTCAGTAATTTTGTTACTTCTTTCACTGAAAAATTTGTCCTTGGTTAAATGTAACTGTCATTTCTTAATATTGGAAACTTGTCCAAGTTGTAATAGGAAAATTCGAAAGTTTTCTTATTACAATTTTGCAATGTATGCACTTTGAATCGAATGGCACATCGCAAACCAATATGCAAATTATTTCTACACCATATCTGTTGTCACCAGCAACAACAATTCTATAGTTCTTGCATATTACTCGTGTTGCACAATGAGAAATCATTCAGACTTTGTAAACTGCAAAATACAAGTTGCCATTTTCATTTATGACACTTCCTAGAGGTAGCAGCACATAAGACTTTTGAATGCTTAAGATGAAACTCGGACAGTTACTGTATCCACTGGCAATGTCTCATACTTCTTGGATAATAATTAACATAATTACAGTAATTAAAAATGGTGGCATTCATTTTGGAAGATCCTTTATAAATCGTTATGACAGATATTTGCATCCTGAGGAATTCAAAATGTTATGGTGATTTTTCTCTTCATGTTTCCGACATGAAATTGCTCACATTTAAACTTAATCAAATTTCCATTCTTGTGTCTTTCAGTATTATTAACCTGTAATACTAAAAGACACAGGTTTATATTTCCATAAAAACAAGTAATTTATTTTATTTTCATTAAGTTACTTTGTTTTATCTGAAAAATTAAATTGCATATTACAGAAAATTTTAGTTTATAAACAAGAATGTGAGAAATGGATTTAAAGAAATTGAGACAATTTTTTTATTGTTGGTAGGCTACAGGAAATCATCTTATAGACTGTAGTCTGCTGGCTACTGTTTCCCTCTCACCATCCTAAATGCATTTCGTTTAACTTAAACTTAAATTTATTAAAGAGTAATTGAGAGTCTTGTAATGTTAATAATTCATTCCGTTATTTCTTTCAGGTTCAAATGAATAGAACAATGGTTTATGCAATAGAGACAACAGAGATTACCATCGTTCCATCAAATATAATAGCCATATGGGAAGGAGGTATTTTGAGACAAGTTGGATTTGAGGATGATATCACTCTGAACATAATCAGCAATGTTAATTTAGAAGAAACTAACTGCAGGTGAGTTAATTTCTTGCTTTTATGATCATTGATAAAAAGTTTAAAATCTAGTTTAAGTGATAAAATATTTGTTTCAGTTTAAATTGGTACTGTACAAGTTTTCCATTTAACCATCAACAATGTTTTAAAAATGGCTCGTCATCTGGGACAATAACCAGATTTTTTCCATCTATTAATTTTCATGTCGGATTGTTAAATTTGAAATTGTCTGCTGTCAGTTTTAAGTTAAACATTTATCATGATAGAAAGTTGCAAGCTTCGACGTTGCAAGAGCTAGAGATAACAGAGAAATCTCACATGCTGCCGTAAGTATTTTATTTGTCTTTTATCATTCTTATTATTGAAATATTCTTGGATTGTGTTTTACATATTTCTTATCTGAATAGGATTTTGATTAAAAGATACAATCACTTCAGTCATGTGGTCAGGCAGGACACAAGACTTATATTTTTAGCTATCTGCAAGGGATGCAGAGACGTGAAATTAGAATTTCAGTGGAAACTGTGGCTCGTGCAAGATGGAAATCATAATCTTTATATTAGTGAGTATTTTTTTAACATTTAAAAGTTTAATTTTATTAATTATAAATATATTCACTTTGTTTTAGGTGAACATAATTGTGTCCAGGCCGATGGCTCGACCTTCTTTATTCATGCCGACAACATCACAACGGCAAAGCCAATGAATCCTACTGGACACTGGACATTAGAGTCAACAAACAGTAAGGAAGGTAATGTTTTTCTTTTACAGTATTTCTTATTTTTGATAGAAAAGAATTACTCAAGACTCACTTGAACCTTTAACTGGTGTGTATTATGATTAAATCTTGTAAATCAAATGTTTTCTTAACCTCTTCTTCAGGCATCGTTTAATTGCAAACTAGCCAGATCCTCTAAAATGAATTTGAATATGAAATTTGAACATATTCAAATGATGGACATTTCATATGATTACCTTCTCTGTGCATGCGTTCTCGTGATGTGATTAAATATGTACATAACATAATGATCATCAAAAAATGGCTTTAATATCAAGTTGGAACTCCAAATAAGTGTGCACGTGTATGAGTTCAAATAATGAGAACATATGTGCATGCATTCCTGTGTTTTCATAAATAAGGTAGAATGTTAACTATTGGTGTCAATACAGTCTGCCATGCTATTGAAAGATCGATGTCATCTATAAAATTAATGCACATGGATGTGCCATATGCTTTAAAAATCTAAATTGCCTGTAGCCATTTGAGGTGCTCCGGGTGTGGGGTGGTAACGATGATTTGTGCTCTGGTGAAGTCTGCAACAATGTCAGGGTCTGTGGCATATGTGGAGAGTGCAGTGGTAATCCTGTTATGTTGTATATCTGATTTATGTTTCTTTATTCTGACTCCCATTGAACATTTGGTGGAACCAATGTACACTATATCCCTATCACATCTGTTGTTTCCGATAGGGACACTATAAATGCCCGGTAGTCTGTCTGGGTTAGAGGGGTTTTTCTCGTTATGTAGTTGGTTGAAAATGATGGGGGTGTCTCCTATAGTCAATGCTTTTTTGCAATAGTGGTATATAATGATTTCAAAAGGGGGTTAACGGTTCAAGTGAGTCTAATTTTATATTCATCCCAGTGTATGGTCCTGATTTATATATTAATTAATTCTTAATGACCATTGAGTAATTTTCAAAGGTTAATTTAATAATGAAATTATGATTATAGGTTATGATTAGGAACATAATTACCAAGAAAATCATGATAATTTATGAACTGATATGATTAAGACAAAACATTATAATTCTGCATCAAATACCATAAATTACAATTAGAAGTAGCTGAAATTAAAAGTATTTTGAGCACGTGCAGCAGTGCATGCAGAATATAGAATAGGAGGCACAAGCTATAAAAAAGTGCATCATGCATTATTCAAGAAGCTTCAAACTATGATTTACATTAAGTCAATGCTTCAACAATTACACTGATTGCAGTCAGGTCTAACTTGGCCTTGAAAACAAGGAACAATCCTTGTTTTCAAGACCATACAATGAAGTTGCATGGGACAATGGACAAATAATGTTCATTAGTTTTTTTATATTAGCAGAATAGGCTAGAAGTCATGAATTTTCCATTGTTTGTTCATAATGATATTTGGAGGTTCCTTTGATGATTAGGAAAAGGGCAACCCAATGGAAAAGGAACATGTGCTGAAGTGCCTTAATGTGTGGACATACCTGCATACATAAATTTCTGTCTTGTTGGCACTAAGAAGGGGGTTTTGGCAACCCATTATGAATTCAGCAGGGCTCACAATAGNGTTTTCAAGACCATACAATGAAGTTGCATGGGACAATGGACAAATATTGTTTATTAGTTTTTTTTATATTAGCAGAATAGGCTAGAAGTCAAGAATTTTTCATTGTTTGTTCATAATGATATTTGGGGTTCCTTTGATGATTAGGAAAAGGGCAACCCAATGGAAAAGGAACATGTGCTGAAGTGCCTTAATGTGTGGACATACCTGCATACATAAATTTCTGTCTTGTTGGCACTAAGAAGGGGGTTTTGGCAACCCATTATGAATTCAGCAGGGCTCACAATAGGCAGCTGGGTTGTCAGAGATATATCTGGATGAACCCTGAAAAATTTCTGGGGTATTCTAACCCATTCAAATTCCATCCCAGATCCTCAAAATGGTGGGCTGCTATCTTAAGTGCTTAGCCATCAGGCTGTTCATAGCATCATGGTAGTAATATCTTACAAAATATTATAATACATCATGAACTTAAATTTTATTTACTTTCTTATTAACCTTCTTACTAATTATTTTAGAAAATGGGTAAGCAAAATTATAGTTTTGTGTATTTATTTTTATGTAAAATATCTTGTACATTTTACTGTTTATTGATAAATGTTAGTTTGTATTATCTACTTTTTCCCATCCATCTCCAATCCTGTCAAAGGCTAGGACCAATATTAATTATTAAAGCTATTGCTGACCATACAGCTTTAGCATGCTAATGTCTTAGGTTGATTAATCAAGTGTTAAGCTTTATTTGTAGATAACATGATGATAATTGTTTTTCTTAAGTAATATTAGAAGTTTTGTTAATTAGACAAATAGTTTTTACACTGATTTATATAGTTTTTGAATTCTTTGAATGTAATATTTTTTACTGCTGTTCTATATGTCTGTAATGAAACATTTTATATGAGTTCTATGAATATTCTTTATAGCATCTGTCTTCAAGTTACTACGGATTATTTCATATGTCTTGGCGAAGTGATGTGTGATACTCTGTGAGGTTCTGAAAGTTTTATAAAGTTTGAGAGTCTCCTTTTGTAATGCAAAACTTGATCTTGTGAAAGATTCATCAGAATCTTTTACAAGATTTAAAGAAAATGAATTGTTTATTTTCTTTACTAAATAAATTGACTGTTTCCCATTACTGCCAATGTGCATTTCTACTGCCAAGTCAAGATTTGTGAAACTTTACAGCCTAGAAGATAATCTATAATTCTAACAACTTTAATATTTTGATTTTGCATATACAGATATTTACTTTGATTTGACAAATAAGCTGCTATCTTATTATTTATCAGTCTAAATAAGCTACTAGCTTATTTATCAGTCTATAAACAATGCTAATTTAATGATTAGAAATAAAGTAATTTAGCTACAGGAAGGCATCTAATAATAAATTTAATTTTTAATTTAAGTTTAGAATATTCTGAACGAAAAGATTGTCCTGGAGTGAAACTTGAACTTGTAACTTCTGCTTAATGTGCAGCTGTGTTGTCAGTTGCACTACCAAAATCACATTTGATCTTCTTTTCCAGAAATATTAATTACTTAATCAGTATCATTTATATCTGAATTAGTTATCTGGAGACAGCTTTAGCACCTATAGTCCACTATGACACTCAACTGACTTACGCTTAACTCCAGCATTGAATATACAGTATATTAGAACATAAACATCAACCATCTTTAGATATGCAAATGAACTAACTTTTTAGTATAACTAGTTAGACCACCATCTTTGTCTCTAATTACTAAATTAACCTCATAACAGCCTGATAAATAATCTAGCAGTTTATTTGGTATATCTAATTGCATTCAATTGATGTTTACATTGTTACTTTGATATTTACAGCTTGCAAATTATATTGAACCCTACAGTTTTATTCAATTATGCTCGATATCTTTAGAACCGAAAGTAGTTTGCTAAGCTGTTTATATAATAAAGATGCTAGCCATAAAATTTCTTGATGCGCACTCAGTCAAATAAATTTTATAGAAACGTTAACAAAAAAATTCATTTGCCGCTAACAAAGTTTACATATTGGATCACTGAAACTTGATCTTTACTCTTCAAAACCGTGTCGGGCTTTACTAAAATTATTATTATTTTTTGAAAAGCCTATAGTATTTAAAAAGACAAAATAATACTGATCTAGAAAAAATCTTTTTTAGACATTAAATATTCTTTAATTTAAAAAAAATGAAAGATATTTTTTTAATTAAAGAATTATATGTTTGACAGCTGCTTATTATAAGGAATGCCTGTTTTATTTATTTTTTTTGTAAATATAAAAAAATTAAAAAGACCAAAGGCAATTTTATTCATGAATATTTTTATGAGGTGTAGAGAACTTGCGTCTATTATATAACACCACCATTGTCTGCAGTTATTTTTGGCTTTATGCCAAATCTTTCTTTTGTGCTATTTTAATACATCTACTACCATATTTTGGTAAGCTAAAATATCATAAATCTGTTTTTTTACACTCTGTGTATTACGTAATACGGCAGACTTCAGTCTGACAAATATTTTTATTATCTAAGCATCGCACTTCTTTTTCTTAAATTAAAAATTTATATCATTATTTTGAATTGAAGTAAAGAATTAAATTAGACGAGTTTTAAATCTTAAAACAGTTGTGTAAAGAGATTAATTTTATTTGTCTTTTTAATTGTTTTTGGACTTTTGAGAAAAATGTATCAAATACTTTGGAGTAAAGAGTCGAAGAATTAAGATTGAAATCTTAGAATAGAATTTAAATACGCAATTCTTGTTTTATTTTTAATTGTTGTCTTCACATTATGCCAAGTTTGTTGCTTGATAGTGATTTCAGCTGTAGTATCAAATCATATAAAGTCATTAAATAAGTGTTTAACAGATATTTATTTCTTAAATGAGAAAAAATTAAATTGTAAAATGATTATACTTAATTTAGTGCTACTTTTCGGTAATGCATTTGTCGCATGTAATGTCACAATCAGTAGCAGATTCACAACTCGAAGGGACTAACACAAAAATTATTTTATGCAGATGGTCCGATAAACTCTATTTGCCTCTGTAAATGTTTTTAAAAACGTTTGGAAGTTTGAAAAAAGAAATTTTAATATCATAAAAAATTGAATCAAATTCTTCAATTTATAAGTCAAATTGCTTTGTGATAAGCTCACAAAATTTGTTTTTATATGCCATTACATTGACCAAGTATCAGTGAAAAAAGCTTTTACTAAATTTATATAATTTATGTGGACACAAAGACATATTTCACATAATTATGGTTGAAATTATATAAAGGATAATTTCTAACACAGTTTTCTTCACTTATTCATTAAATAATGGTTACAAAAGACACACTTGTTCAAGTTCAGAGAAGGAAAAAAATATAAAACCTGAAAACTATCCAGAAGTGTGGGATTTATTATATAGAAACAAGTGTATTTAGTTAATGATGCTCAAATGGATTAGTTCTATAAATGTGATGGGAGTGGCATGCAACATAAATGTTCTGTTACATGCTCCATAAATCTGATTGAGAGGAAGCAGAGTGTAAACATTCTCTGTTCTTCTAAGTAGAAAGTGATAAATTTGGTGAAAGAAATAGATTCTGTTTATATCTTTGGTATTTTAAATGGCTAGTGCTTGAATTCTAACAAAAATGTTTTTATTAATCAGCTAACTAACATAGTAATGATTGTGGAGAATATAATTTTTGGGTTTTTTCAACCAAATGGCTTGACAAATTGCACAAAGGGGAAATGGAGAGAAAATTCTGGATGTTGTTATTAATTGAATATTGTATTATAGAAAACAGATGTGTACAGAATTATATTGCGTTTAAACTTTTAAGTATTTGTGTAAGTTAGAATAACAGTAAGATGCAGGAAGGAAACAGTATTTTATATAATTTCTGTACAAAATTTTTTATTACTTGAAGTACCTAGTTTTGCTCAAGAAATACCTCAGGAGGGTTGCATCTCCATTCTGTGCACTCCCTAAATCCATCCCTGACTACCTGCAAGAAATGTATTTATGATACATAAGAAAATTTCTTTCCATTAAGAAATGAATTATTATTTATAAATGTATGTTTAAAAATGTTGTATTTTGTTTTCTGTTCTGTGCAAATATAGGGTTGGCCAATAAGTCTGTGAGGCTTTTGTTGATAGATATTATGAAAAGCAACAAACTTCATTTGAAATTGACATTTCAATATTCACTTGAAAAAAAATATATAGAGATTGATTATGTTTTGAATATTTGATGTCAGTTGAACAATTGATAAACAAGATGAGCATTTTCGGCACACTGTGCTTTCTATTTTAAAAAATCAAAAACACTGTGCAAACCTGTAAGAAGATACGTGCAGTGTATGGTGAGATGCCTTGATTTCTATATTTGGAGAATGCCTGCAATCTTTCATGTCATATAGTGTGGATTCGTGTCAATTAGCTGCTTCACTTTGTCTATGTTGATCTTTTGTGAGATTTTGTTCTAGAGATTTTTCTGTTCAAGTACACCATGCAGGTCACAAGATATATGATGAGTTTCAGGCATTCTCTAAATATAGAAATCAAACATGGAAAACCATCTGCATCAGCTTGACTACATTAGCAAGCTTGATGTTTGGTTTTTACATAAACTGTCTGAAGCAAATCACCTAGAATAAATTTCCATCAGCAATTCACTAAGAAAATATGAGGAAAGAGATCCGTTTCTGAAGTGAATGAAAATGGGCGATGAAAAGTGGATCATCCAGTGCAAATGATCATGCAGACTGTGTGGCAAAACACCACAAACCACTTTAAAAGTAGGGCTTCTCCCATAAAAGATTATGCTCTCGATTTCGTGGAACCGGGGATTGTTTTACAAGCTGATTTTGTAGAATGGAACAGTTAATTTGGATGTGTACTGTGGTCATCTGGACAAATTGAATGCAGCTATTCATGAGAAACATCCAGAATTGGTAAATTGGGAGAAAGTTGTCTTCCATCATGACAGTGCCAAACCTAACGCATGTTTGCAAACACAACAAAAATTATTGGAACTGGTCTGGGAAGTCTTTTGTATCCTCCATATTCATCAGATACTATTCCCTCTGATTACCATCTGTTTTGTTCCTTTTAAAATTCTTTAAATGGAGTGCTTTGTTGCAGAGGAAGATATCAAACAGCATTTGGAATAGTTTTTTGCAAAGTAAGACTGGAAGTTCATTGAGCAAGAAATTATAGATAGAGCTTCCAAAAGATGGCAGAAGATTGTAAATCAAAATGGGCTATACAGTATTTAATAAATTTATTGCTTTCTCTGAAAATTTGTCTTTCATTTACACATTAAAAACTTGCATAGACTTATTAGTCAATCCTATGTGTAGTTATACTTGTGCAATTCTTTGGCACAGTGCTTTTATGGCAATGCACTGAGAAGATTGTTAATGACATGATTGCATTCTATTATCTTCATTAACAAGCAAGAATTCAAAATGAAAGTTTTCTTTGTGATGTACGATTATTACTCTCATCTCTGTATGGATAAGTGTTCATTTTTGTTAAGAGATAGGAGCATTTATTTACATTATTCTCTTCTGACGTACAGTAAATTATGTTGTTTATCACATAAATAAGCTTAGCTAAAAAAAATAGTTTGTCAGAATTGCATTGAATTTTTTCTTATAACCATGTATGCAAATACTAAAAATTATTTTGCATTATAAGTAACTTTATAATTAAAATTTTGTTGATTTAAATTCTGTTTATAAAACCGTGTAGTATAAATTAATTAAAAAGTATTTTTTCATAGATAATTTGGAAGAAGAGTTTCCTCCATTTCCAAAATTTCCCGGTCTTCCAGAAGTCAAGAAATGGCAGTCGTTTGTCGAAAACACAGGTAAATACAGTATTTGCTTGAAATTTCAATTAAAGTTTTTTCATTTGCTATGTTTGCTACTGCTGCTTATCTGCATGTGTGAAGACACTGGTCCTCATTCTGTAGACCATGACTAGATATTATATTTGTTTTATTTTACTTTGTATTCCCATTTAAGGGAGTGCAGTAGTTACTTTGATTTGTGATATTTACACCATTTACACTCCTATCTATATGACTTTTGTCAGACAGATGGGAGTGTAAATGGTATTCTGATGTACAATTAACTTTTTTCAAATTTATTAATACAGTTGTCATTTTTTTTTTAGATCGTAAGAAGAGAGAAACATTTCAGCAGACTGGTGATGATTTTGAGGAAAAGGACGAAGCAACGAACCCTCCATTTTTCCCGTTTCCTCCCGTAGAGGGTGATGTCACATATGAAGCCAGTCATTTGCATCTACCAGAAGGTTAGTATGATGATGGTCTTCATATTTAAATAATCATATTTTGAGATTCATAATATGTTACTTTTTATGAAATTTTCAAATTGTTATCTATAAAAAATATAAAATTTCTAATTTATTATAACTTGTTTATAATTAAACTGAATGTTAATTTTTACTTTAAGAAGAACTTTATGTAAGAAATGTTTTTATTGAATAGAATTTGCTGCACAGGAGCTCATTTCTGATTCATTTTATCCTTTTGAAGAAGGAAATCCTGGGGAGGGTGGAAGTGCCTTTGCACGAGAACATAGTAAGTTAACTTTGATTCATATCTTTTTATTTTATGTAAGTAACGCCATTTAATTAATTAAATGGGATAGTTTTCTTGTAACCGACGAAAAGATTGGCAATGATTCTGATGAGAAAACAAATAAAATAGTTGAAAATCCATTATTGATACTACAACATACTTACATAAAATTTAAAATAAATTATGTAAAAATATAAACAGTGATTAATCCAATCTCTCAGATTAATGCTAAACAATTGCCACATTATATTGTGCTATATTAATACTACTATTAATAATTAAATGCTAAGTAATATTTAAATTAATAAGAGAATGCACCTAATGCATATCTCTAAACCAAATCACTTAGCATTTAATTATTAATATTGGTATTAATACAGCCCAATATAATGTGGCAATTGTTTGGAGTTAAATTACATGAAGATTTTATTTGCAAGACAACAAAGCAGAAATTAATGCACAAAAAAGTTAAATTATTAACAATTATAACATGAATATAGAGTAAAAAGGCAAGACATTTCAGATGCACTGTACATGGCTTCAAGGAAAGAGATTGGAGATAACACATCATTAAAATAAATTATTAAAACAGGAAAGTTGACAAAACATCAGTTTAAATTTAGATATCAGAAACTAGTTTTGTTAAATATAAAATTTCATTTATCTAATAAAGGCAGTCGAACATTTAGATATGATTGTCATTTTGAATGTCAGCTAATTTTGTATTGTATATTTGAATAGGATTGTCTAATGTGATTCTTATGTAATGCAGAGATGCTTTATTGGCCAGATATGTGGTTAATATTCTAGGATTTCTTTCTTAAAGTCCAGAAATGCTGACAGACTTGTGATCATCTACATAATAACATATCAGTAATTATGTATTAACAATTAGTCAAATTATGCAGTCACTACTATAAATTATATACAGTTAGGATGAAAAGTAACAAGACATTGAGAAATTGCTATAATTTTTGTAATAATTTGCATAATGAATGTGATCATAATAAAATTTGCGCACACATACATCAATCAGTGGAATTTTATAATTCCCAAATTCCCACTCAGGCAGTGACTGAGAGAGGCACAGTGACAAAAAAGAAAGTCAACCATTTGTCTGTTTAGGAGTGTATAAGGATTGCCATACTGTATGAAGTGTGGAAATCAGTTGTTGCTGTGCAGATATAGTGAAGGACATGTGCCATAATCCATCCTGAAGCAATCAAGAATCGTCATTTGAAGCTAATGATCACAGATTTGGTTGTGGATGTGTAGAGAAGTGGCTGTCCATACAAATCAGTTTTTGGTCATTTGAGGAAATTGGTGAATGGCACCACTGCTTACATTGAATTTTAAAGTATGCGTCTGTGTTTCCATGTAATAAAGTATGTGCCAAATAATTTTTATCATATTTACTTTAGAAGGATAGAGATTATAGCAATTCCTCAATGCCTAGTTACTTTCCACCCACCCTTTTTATTATCTAGTCAGCATTTATATAGAGGTATTTATTTCTTTCCCATGTATAATGGCTTAATAGTCACTTGTAGATATTAAAACATTTGAATATAGTTATCATTTCCTAGTATGTATATTGTATTGCTTGATGTTTTGATATTCCAGGAGACCAAAAATTTAAAAATTCCTTACAAATGTGTGTGTATGGTAAGACCATCTATTTTTCATAATATCTCAGGACTGGATAAACCGAAAACTTGTAGAGCTAGAAAAAGGATTTGAATCACTAGTATCTTTTAAAGAAACTATATTAAAATTGAGCTGTTTTCAAAGTGTTACAGATGATAATTTTAAATTTAAATCTGTTTCTATAGAAATTTCTAAATATTTTGTTTATAACATTTAAAAATTATTCCTTAACTTCTTTTGTGACTTGATAAGGACTATTACAATATTTTGTTCTTGAATCAAAGATTTAAAAACGTTTTTTAATAATAAAATTCAGTGTTTGCTTTCATATAAACTAAATAATTCCATTCTCGTTTTCAGATTTTTATCTCCAAATACAAGGTTGCAAAGTCTGAAGATGACCATATCTGTGACCTTGACCCAGTTTTTGGAACCTTAGATTTTCTAGAGAAAATATCAGAAATTGTTGTTGCTCGTAGTTGGAAATTTTTCTTGATCTACAGTGATTTAATTGATCTGTTTAGTTTCAAAATTTAATGCATAAGAATTACACATATAAGATTTTTATATAAATTATATATAAAACAAAGAATATTCTTTTATAATTTATTTTAACTATAAATCCTATTTTTGATGTCTACAAACAATAGAGAGAAAACACACACGTTTACATATCTGGACATTTGATATGTTTGTTGCATATATTTTTATTTATGAAGAAGACAAAATAGTAAAGCAAAGAAATGTAAAGAATTCAGAAAAAATATATTTAAGCCATAGCAGCACAGAATTTGTTTTTAAGAATATGTCTTGATGGATTTCAGATTTAATTTCAGTAAATGAATTTTCATGTGTGGCAAGAACTCACTTAGGGCTTTTTTTTTTTTTTTTAACACTTTCCGCCCTGTGGGCACTAAGAGGGCCTCTTTTTGCAAGCCCATTATGGGTTTGGCCAGGCCCACAATGGGGCTGCCGGATGGTGAGTGACAGGGCCCAATATATCTGAACGGACCACCCCCGAAAAATTCCTGGGGATTTTTCGACCCGTTTGGATTCGAATCCTGGTCCCCCAGAGTGGTAGGCTGACACCTTGATCTCTCAGCCATCTGGCCACTCACTTAGAGCTAGTACACATTAGGTGTTGGGCGTTGCGTTAAACGCGTGTTAGCAGTGTACATGCGACGTGTTTAGCTCGGCATTCGATGACCATTCACACTGGCTCAGTTTGGAAATGGACGTGAAAGTAATTGCATGTGTGTGGCTCCTCTATCATTGCTATAAAAGATGATGACAGAGGCAAAGAGAATTTTGGGTGCACCCAATATTACAAGATAGACTGAAGCATGAAATGTTTGTGACATTGTATCCAAAACTAAGACAATATGAACCCAAGTTTTTAAATTATATTAGAATGTCTATAAAATCATTTGACAATGGCTGGTCTCTTTAGGATTTTATCAATAAATAGATCAGTATCAAAATGATCATTCTCCATTTCACCAATGTGCATCCACTCTACCCAAAAGTGCATTATTGAATGTACAACAAATTGGCAGCACATGTATCTCAAAGTGCGCGGCTGAAGCCTGCAAAATGCATGTTTTAACCAAAATCTATCAATGCACATTTGCATGTGTATACCTATGTGGAACTCTTGGTTCTTTAAAACGTGCATTACCAAAGCTTGTGCTTCACAACTATAAATGTATATAACTATGTGCTTCAAAATGCCTAATGTGTACTAGCCCTTAATGTCATCAATAGATTCTGAAAAACTATTAAGCGAAATGACATATAATGAAACCAATTTTACCATGGGTTAAATGACGTAAACAAGATGTAAGTTGGTTAATATTATTCTAATTGGAACATTTTTTGCGACCTCTGGCATTTATTTTCCACCTTGTAGAATCTATTTTACTGTTTATAAAAAAAAATTTGACAATGATAATTATAAATGACTACAGATGTACTTGTATCTTTCCCATAATTATAAATGAAGTGACATTAAGCCAGCACTTTCTGTATTATAAAGATTTTACATTTTACTAATCTTAAGTTATTTTACTTTAGATCTTCAGCAACTGGAAAAAAGTGAAGAAAAAATTTTGGAAGAAATTGGGAAGGGACGATACGGAACGATCAAAAATAACCAAAGTAAGTTTGGAATTCGAAACTCATCATTTGTTTCTGTAAGTCAAAAATATTATGAAACAACACTAAATGCTAATTGTATATAAACAAAAAAGGATTTGAATTATGTTTAGCAAAAAGATAATAAAATTAAAACTTATTTCATTTTTGTCCCATTAGTAACACGTGCACAAATTTTTTACTTGTTTTTATTGGTTTTGTTTGCCTGCCTCTAGTATCAAGTGTTTAAATTTTGTTGCAGAAATTTGTCAATTAAATAAGTATCTAAAAGTTTTTTTCTAGTAAGAAATATTAGTGAAATATTTTGCTGAGCAATAAAGCTAAGTAGGTTTGTTAAAGTTACTATCGCTATTGTTGACATTTGCGCAATACAAACACATCACTAATTGGATATAAATATCAATAATATAAACTTTACTATCAAACACTTTTATTAATTTAACAAACCTACTTAACAAACCTACATTAATTTAGCCTTTTAAAGGTCAACTTCAGGTTCCTCCATGTTTAAGCTAAAAGCAACATAAACATTAGAAGCAATTAAATCTTTAAAGATGCCAGAAAGGAAACTATTTTGATGTTTACATGCACATCATATAAGTAAATTTGAAATGAAGTTAAACCATTTTACAGTGTTTATATCTTACAGTATAAGTTGAATAAAGTAAATAGATTTAATTCACAACTATAAGATCTAACACCATTGCTATATTTTCAATTTAGTTGATAGCCCTGTTTCAGCCCATGTATTAGTGTATTTTCACAAAGTGTACTTTTGAATTTAGACATTTTTTGACAGAATGTAAACAATTTTTATCATTAGTAAAAGATGTAAATGTTATTTTAATAATAATTACATTACAGGTGAAACTATGTTGTTAATTAATCAAATTTTGCAAAGACAATTATTAAAAAGAATATATTACCTATCTCTGATTTTCATTCAACTTTATTATGTCAAATATTTCTTTTAGATGATGATGATTACAATGGTGAATTCAATTTGCCAGACGACATTGGTCACGCTGCCGTTGATGGTAGGTATCCCAGCACGGCTCCCCATGTAATTCGCCGACCAAGGATACCCTTATCTTCGGAGTCAAATTTGGTGTCTCCAGAATATTTTATCTTAGAACCAAGGAGTTTGAAGATTGGAAGCACGTATATTGTTGAAGCTACAGTTACCAGCAAAGGTACAGAAATGTTTTTAAACATTCTTCAAAGAAAATAAATTGTAGTGATTTTTTAATTGCTATAGAAGACCGAATTAAAAAATAAATTGCCGGTTGTTCTCACAGAAAAAATTTTGTTTCAATTACAGCAGATCATAAGTTATACTTAATTAGTTTAATACAGAACAAAATTTACATACAAATTAATCCGTCAAAAACTAAATTGACAAAGTCTGGGTGATGATCACAAATTCCTGGTATTCGGCAAATTACATTCAGTCTCTCCTGTTTACCTTCATTTTCCAACTTGTGGACACTATAAAACTGTTTTTCCATATTCGTCTTGGGTTTGCAGACCCACAATGGGGCGACTGCACTCATCATATTTGGTAGATACTACCAGTGAAAAATTTATGGGGTTGCTAGCCTGTATCGCAGGTCCCTGGAATTGTAGGTTGATGCTGTATTTTCTTCGGCCATTTGGTCATCAGTTGCAGACTTGCGGGTTGAAAATCCTGTTTTATATTGCTCATTTGTTTTAAACATTTCTGAAATTAGACTTTCTTAAAATTTTAATTAATATTTGTTAATTATGTTTGCTTCTAGTTTAAAATGTAGTAAATTAATCTGAAACCTTAGAATATAGAGAAAAACAAGTAAAATGGCAAGGCCATGTTTGGGACAAGACTGTCTCGGAGACTCACTACTAAGTGGGATCACTTTGACACTCATGGCGGGTCTTGTTCTCATTCTCCAATCTTTGGTATCGCTGCTTTTGAACGTGATTGTTCAAACTTTGCTGGTGACGGCCACGATTATGGGGTTGTCCATGATGCATTTTTGGTGAAATTAAGCTATTCAATGTCACAATTTCTCTTTGTTGCATGTCACACTAGGTTGAATTTTTGTCGATGCATAACGAAAATTTCCCATTTTTGAAAAAAGTAATTGTGGCTATTGTATCGTTCAAAATTATTTTTTTATTTGCAGAATTAATAAATGTAAAAAGAAAAAAAAAATTATATTTTGGAAGTTAGTTTTATAATATAAAATTATAATGACTTGCACCATCTAGTTTCAAAAATGTTCCGATGCTGAAATGAGATATCTCAGGTCAACCAGTCAAGGTCAGCATGTCGCAACCAGAGATATGTCGGGAATAACATGGGACAGGTAAATGGGTTTTTTCGAAGATTCGTTTGTCAAAATTTAATTTTGCAATGTTCACATTTCCAACTTCCCAACGAGCAATGCATGTGCAAATCTAACACCTATTTGTAGAGTGTTGCTGTTTTGTATTTTATTTTGACTTGGTTCTCGGTCCCCTGAGTACCTACAAGTCTGATTTTTTTATGTGCGCATGATTTGGGCATCTAATACTCAGTGCCAAATTACTACTCCTGACATGTACTCTTATCTTCATGTCTCTAAGATATGTACCCGTTGATGGCAGCATGATTTTATAAACAAGACAGTCTTGTCAATGAAATGATATTTGATTATTTTTCAAACTCAATTCATATTGATAAGAATTTGTTCAAGAATACTTTGTTGTTACTTTGTACTTACTTTGTTTTTAGCAATAACAAGTGTTTAATATGAAATGCAATAGTAATTATTTCACTCTCTAGTGTGTTATTTTTAAAATTTTTAAATAACAATAAAGTTTTTGTGTTTAGATAATCCAGAGTTAATGGGGAAAGCAATGGATTATGTCATTGTTAACATTGGCCCGACCAACGGTCGCTGCACTCTGATTCCTCTAGAAGGGAGAGAGTTTGCGACTTGGTTTCGCCTACACTGTATGGAATGGAGGACGGAATACCATCCCCTTTGGTATGAACTGCATTACACCCAGATACCCAATGCAACCGGACATCTGGTATATGTTGGGCTTAATGGAAATGCAAAATTTACGCTTCCTGCTGGCCTGCCCGAATACAATCACAATGGTAAATTCCTTATGTTTTCTTATGCTTGAATAACATAAAATAATCCAAATATATAATAATTGAGAATTTTTTTTATGTAGTGTATGTGGACGTTGTGGTTAGAGATGGCAGTGGATCTGGCACGAGAGTTTGCTCAATAGTTAGAAAAGTCTATCCGGAATGGGAAGACTCTGAAGATTTGAAATTATTTATGTAGGTTGACACATATTGTTTTATGTAACAGATACTTTTAATATAATGAATATAGATTAGTTATTTGATGATGTCAGTTATTTATTTGGATCATACATTACTTGATATGGTTTGCCATCTTGCCATCCTGCTATCACACTTATTTGATGATGGTCTAATAATCCACAGGTCAATGAAAATGTGTTTGCAATTACATGAGACAGAGGAAGCAGGTGAAATAATGGAGGCTTTATTCATTGATAATTATCATGCTACAAGAAGACAAAAGAAAGTGCTGATTGGATTGTACATTTATTGTCCTATTTTTTTATACTAAATGGATTTGATCTTTGTCTATGATTACAAATTGCTCACCATATTTTGTCTTATTTTAACAAGATAATTTCTTATTAAATAATGCACAGTTTCTTAAAATATTTTTCAAAAGTACTTTTAACAACAAGCAAAAGTTTGTCTTAAAATGACTTATCTTATTCCTGTAGTGTTAACGAAACTACAAGTTCTCAGTCGTCATTCAACAAAATGCTCGGTGAAAAAAATTATCAAGGATTATTACATCAGATACACGTTTGGGTAACTGGACTCAATCGTGTCGATGCTAACTTTACAAAAAGAAAAAGACGAGAGACAAATCGAGACAATCTCAGACAAGAGTTGATAAATTTGATCGGCAGTTTAAAGCTGAACACTTTGGTGAGTGGAGATAATTTTGTAAAATTTGTTTTCAACAAATTACAAATAGTGATTATAAAATTTATTAAATAAATTATTGTCATTGTAGGCAGAAGCACATCAAGCTCTACAAGCTCTCCTTCCTTTACTTGATGCACCTTCACAGGTTGGCATTAATACTTTGTGTATGTAATTATACATTAATTGTTAATACAGTATATAGAATCAAAATGTTTACAAACTGGAAAATGAGTGACAGATGAGGCAATTGAATGTTTATTAGCACAGAGGAATTATATATGTAATTGTGAGGGTGAGAAGTAGAACATATCGGAAGTTCGTGAATTTTGGTAGATGTGTGCAAAATTTAAGGGAACCTAAAGAATGTAATGGTAATACATTACAGCATTAATAAAACAAGAGGAAAACTATTGACTAAATGGAAGCAACTGATTTTTAAACAACAGCAAAGATGGAAAATCTTCCAGTTTAGGTGATTAACAATTTCAAGTATAAAGTCATTTATTTTGTATGAAAATTCCAGAGCACTGTTAAGTAGAAACAATTCTTTCAATTGATCACAAGATCAAAGCAACCACAATATTATTGCGTGTGTACCACACATTACAAAACTTTATTTATTGTTAGCTCTAGACCTCAAAATAGCATTAAAATGTTAGCTTAAGAATAAATTAAATGTTGTTATTAATTATGTAGGTCATCTTTTAGTTATAACAGAATGAATTATACTGATGATGATTTAATATTACATTTCTGTTTAAATCATAATGGAAATGTAATTATAACTGATATCTTCTAGAAGAAAATGCCAACATTGAACAATACAACCAATAGAATTGCCCTATTAGGAGCTGAAAACAATTTATAATTGTACATCTATCAGTTAAATTACAATTAATCGCTAATACTTTTTTATATTTTCATTTAAAAACTTTATTGCATCAATTGTAAAATAAGAATTTTAACAATGTTGTTTTCTGTAGCTTAATGACTTATCATTTTTAGATTTTAGTGAAAGATCTTACTACGAGTTTTGAGCTGATTCAAAAATTTAATGAAAGAAAAAGTCTTCACATAAATTTTCCCGTTAAAACTTTCCAAGAATCTTTACTAAGAGTCACTTCGCAGATCATTTATTTGTCTTCGATTCTTCTTGAAGATGCAGAACTAGCAAAAGACATAACATTGAAATCTCTTCTTGAGAAGAGTATAATCATTATGAGAAATGCCATTAAGAAAAATGCTTCCTCTCTCATTCCGAATGATAGACCTTATGTGTTCGAAACATCTCACGTGGTCTTCTTCTATAGTCGCATTGCCACTGATAATCCTGAGCCGATTATAAAATTTGGAGAGAATGAAATTATTTTGGGTCGACAGATGTATTTAGACTTGTTTAATGTTTCGGATAGGGATAATTTACTTTCTTGCAGGTAAGCAAATTAAGTTTCCTTTTTTGACTGTAGGAAATGAATAGTTTGGCTTTATTATTTAAAAGCATACTCACAGTGCATTCTGTAGGATTTTAAATAACTTATAAGATTTATATTCTCTTTTGCTAGGAAAAGTTATCCCTTTATTTGTGACTGTGTAGAGATTATGGCCGAATCTTTTGCTAATGGTCTTTATGTAAATGGCAACAATTGGATCAATACAGGAATATCGAGCAAATGGAATGGTGGAATTTCAAGCGTGAATTTTCATTCTTGTGACGTGCAAGATCACGTACACGTAACAAATCCAAACGTTGAATTTCATTTAAAAAGATTAAAGGTCCAGTTTTGCCTTTATATTTTATATTTATTTAATTTTAATATGCAGTAAGTTCTATTTTTCCTTCAACAGTACTGCACAATCTTTATGTTCTTCTTGTCGCTTCTTATACTTTTGGTGGAAAACTCTTTATACTGCATTTCTAAGATTTTTCATACTGATCGCTTGTTTAGCAAGCAACCTGTTCTTTGATGAATTAACCCCAGTGTTTTTTTGAAATTGCTGTATTAATTTCAAAATACACGTAAGCCATCCGGATTTTTAAGTAGCTGGAGTTAAGATGTTGCTGTTTGTGTCGCGATAACAAATACAAAAAAAAAATTAATTATTGTAAACGAGTTGTGATTACGTTTTTTTACCTTAGTGCTTAACAAATCCCTCCCGAATCATTCCTATCACCCTCCAATAAATTGTATAACGGCGCAATCCATTTTAAACCAATTGGATCACGGGTAGAAATGATTGACATATCGAATGACGTCACTTACGTAAACTTACGTCACTTACGTTGAGGAAAAACATTTTCCAATTATCGTGTTACACTTACATCGTAAATGTTGGCCTGCGCGTAACGTTCTGTACATTCGGCGGGTACAACACGCTTCATGTGGTACAGTCGACCCCCTATAACACTGTTGATAATTCCGTTTTATATGAATTCCATGTTGTACGAGTCACTTCGATTTTACAAATACGTGTGCCAGGCTGTAAACGGCTCATGTATTTGTAAAATCTAAATGACTCGTACAACATGGAATTCATATAAAACGGAATTATCAACAGTGTTATAGGGGGTCGACTGTACCTCATGAANTTAAAGGTCCAGTTTTGCCTTTATATTTTATATTTATTTAATTTTAATATGCACAAATAATAAAAATCTATATTTACAGATGAATTTGGGAAAAGAATACACTCTTTCAAAGGATAACATTCATATTCATCAACTGAATCTTACTAAAGATCAAGTTAATAAATCACTGATTATATCACTTGATATTCAGGATTTTGAAAAGAAGCATTTGTTTCCTCTCTGCTTGTTATTTAGGTAATAATAAATTTTTGTTTTGCTAAAGAATTTAATAGTTAAACTTGGTCCCATTATTTAGTCCTTAGTATATTTATATTAAACAGTTTAAAAATACTTTTCCAGTTGTGAAGTTCTGGCGAGCCCGGAACTTTGCCTCAACCTGACAAAACAGACAGGTGAGCAAAGTTTCAGGTGTGTTGGATCTTCAAATAGTCTCCATTTTCTATGTTATTAATATTAAGTGTAAGTACTGCATTAATCATGCTGTGTGTTCGATGTATAAATGTACTTCTGTTAGAAAGAATGATGTTGCCTTCTCTAAATTAAAAAAATTTGGTTTGTGTATTTTGGATGATGATGTCTTGTTCTCTTTGTCCACCTGAAAGGTTGTCTCAACCTTGAGAAAGAAATAGGTGAGCAAAGTTTCAGGTGTGTAGATGGAGCAGACTAACTTCAAATGCAACAAAGTGTCAACAACTTAAATAAATAAACTTAATAAAAATACAGTGTAGTTTTGATTTCTTTTTTGAGTAAATTATTAATCAATCACTTGAGCAGGCTTTTATTGTCAAATAGATGATGTGTGTGTGTCTGCATTTTATTCCATAGTAATGTTGAATTATATTTTTAATCAGAGTTTGTTGTATATTGGCTGTGTGATAATATGTGAGTGGAATTCTTTTAATGTATTTTATTTCTTTTTCTTTATTTTTAGTTCGAAACAACCTCCACAACCCACCAAGTATATGAAGAAAGTATCGTCAAAACATCATGAAAAGACTATGAAGTTATTTATTCCAAACTATTTAGTGAAAGGTATGCTTTAACTTTATGTGAACACAATCTGAAAATTGTTTCTTCCCATTTTAATTTATGCATAATGTTTTTGTATTTATATATATTAATTATTTCTAAATATCCCAAAACTTAACACAAGTTTCAGAATTTTAAATTGCAGAGTTTTACATACACTCAGAATGGAATGTGTTTACAACATATTAATACATAATCTCACTAAGATCTGTTTATGTGAAAATTCTTTTGTAACAATTGATAATCCCAAATTAATTCAATACAGTGGTTCCTCATACTTTAAATATTAGTGTAACAAGAGTGATAGACAGCTGGAGTGCACTTTTTCACTGTAAATTCAGTTTGAACTTTGAAGCGTCATTCAAACTCTGAAGTGTTTGAAGTAAGAAATACCACTGTAATTATAGAATTAAATCTTGTATTACTAGTTTTGAATTATTTTTTATTAAAGTTTATGGATAATTATTTTGAATAAATTTACTATAAACTTTCTATTACCAGAACCAGGATTGTACTATTTGACAGTGTTAGACGGACATTTCTCTAAGCATTCACGGCAAAATATTGATTTTTCACCCATAACCTACACGTTGCAGACGTGGTTAGAACAGTGTGTAAGTTGGGATGGACACCGACAGCATTGGTCTTCGGACAGGTGCATTGTTTTAGAAACAACAAACATCGATAGTGTTCACTGCAGGTATCAAAACTATTAAATTTTTTCATTGCATTTATTTTACAAGTCATATGTAATTTTTTTGATTTTTGAACAGTTGCAAGAGCATTGGTCCGACAAGTTACTATACATGGAACTTGGCAACAAATCTGGAGATAGCTTCCGTCGATAAATTTCTCAGTTCTATGATCCATTTACTTCCTGTGATATTTATCATTTTCACATATGTGCTAATACTAATAATCTGCCATTTTTATGGTGCACATGACAGGAAAAGAGCACCATTAATTGATTTGAAAGATAACAGTCACAAATATGGATATTTAATGATCATCGAAACTGGATTTTATTGGAATGCTGGAACAACAGCAATGGTAATTCTTTCAATCTGTTCTGTGTAAAAGTTGGAATGCTTTCATACAGTCGAGAAGTTATGCAAAACAATTGTTTATCTGTAATAAATTTTTAGGTGTGCGTCGTATTACATGGAGAAAATGGAATGTCTGAGACCACGTCTTTAGTGAACAGGGACTCGAATCACGCACTCTTTCGACGAGGTTCCATTAATACATTTTACATAAGGTAAGAACAGTAATTAAATTATATTTGTGTACTTAAAAATTATTAGAAGAATTATGTTTTTGATATAAATAATATATTTTATAAATTTGTTTTAGCACTCAATCAAATCTAGGTAATTTATGGAAATTACAAATTTGGCATAACAATGGTGGAGCATCACCTTCCTGGTTTCTGAAAAATATTATGGTATTCGATATGCATACGGGTAATTATTGTAATAGATAATTTAACTTTTTTAAAAAATGAACTTATCATAATGCTTATCAGAATATTTTTTGTAGGCAAATCATATTATTTTGAATGTGAGCAGTGGTTATCTGTGGAAGAAGAAGATGGACAGATAGAGAAAGAACTACCACTAAATGAAATATCATGGAATTTATCAAAGGTGCTTTTATTTTCCTAGAAAATACATGTAAAAATAGCAATTTTTAATCTCTAGACAGTTTCCTTACCTTTATATCAATTGTTGACATTGAAATTACATTCTTTTTGGTGCTTTTTTACTAGCATATTAAATTTTAACTGCAAACATACATCAAAAGCACTAGAATTGTATAGTTGCGTGTTTATTTAAATGCTACAAAAAAGCAGGAGTTACATTCGTTTGATATAATTTTAGTCAATATTGTTCTATCAAAACTATTATCCCTGCTATCCCATTTTAATGAGTTCAATTTATTGAAAATAGATGAAACAAAATACAAAATTCTCTATTTAATTTCCACAGAAGTGATACTGGTAGCATTCTGTCTCTCTAGTATTAGTTAGTATCTTACTACTTCACCCAGTTTCCTTATGCCAAAATATTTGAGAATAAAGTAATACCTGGAAAAAGTAATGGTGGATTTAATTTCATGTGGTGCAACAATCAATGAAGTTAGTTATTATGCCACGTGAAAAAATTAAACAAACTGTTTGTTACATGAAGCCCAACTTGTCGTTAAACATAGTGCTATTGTTACATGATGCCTTACCACATGCTGCTTGTACTGTTTTGAATTTCTTTTTTGCCCCTGCCCTATGTTTTTGATTAGACTTAAACCAATTCTCTGGGCTGAAGAAACAGATTAGAAGCATCAGTTTTACCATTACCATGATAAGTGCTTTAATAAACAAACAACCATGATAAAAAATAGACAGAGTGTGTACCTGTGGTCTGTTCCATATTTCTGTTAAAATTACAAACAAGTAGGAACCAGGAGCCTTATTTCTTTATGTACTTTTCGTTACAGGTCTATCGTGAGACTTTTATTCATTATCTTTGTGATTATCATCTGTGGAGTTCCGTCTGTTTAAAACCTCCTTATTCTTCATTTAGCAGAGCTCAGAGACTGACTTGTTGTTTCTCATTAATTGTGTCCTCAGCTGCACTGATTGCAGTTTGGTATAAATATCAACATTTTCAGGTAAGTAAATAGATTAAAAGAATTAAAAAATTTTTACATACAAATCAATAATAAGTGTTTTGAATTAACAGTATTATGTTGAATACGGATTACCGGATTCCTCTTGGCAAACTTTGGCGGTGGGAATTATTAGCGGCTTATTTGTAATGGTGCCGCATCAGTTCATTTCTGCTCTGTTTCGTAACAGTCAAGCCTCACAGATGACACTGTTCAAGTATTTTAGGCCAATCTGCTCTGACTGGTCTTGGAAATCTCTTTATTGTAGTTATCAGCAGAAAGAAGCAAATTCAACAGAGGCTTCCAGTGAATCGTTTTCCACATCAAACAGTAGAAGTATTTACACAGCTGATTCCCTCAGTCACTTTGAAGAATCTCTTGATTCTGATGACGATTCTTCCAGGTAATTATTTTATTGAGTATATTTAGATTTATGTAATTCTTTACAAATATATTTTGTAAAACTAGAACTTCTTTCTTACAGAGAACAATTTTTATTAATGGATGGTAATAATGCAGATCTATACAATCTCTATAACAAGAATCAATATAGACGTCATTCTTGGGACAGTTACGATGACATTGGGAATTCAATAGAAGAAGAACTTTTTAATTCTTATAAAAAGAGAGAGTATCAATCTGAAGCTAATGAAAGAATTAAAAGTGCTAGAAGAAAAGGTAATCAATTATGTTTTATTATACGTAAAACATTGCAGTGTTTCTGAAAATGAATGGCAACATGAACTTGTCTGAGCAACTTCAGTCTTTGATTTCTTTGATGGATATGAGTTTGTGCATTTCTTTTGCATTGTAACTTTTTCTTTTTTTTTCTCTATAAACCTTACAAGTAAGTTTGAGAATTTGAATACAGCACAATACAAAGTTTAAAGAGAAAAGAAAGAAAGAATTGCAGTACCCCTCATTTACTTAATATCATAACTTTTTTATTTATGAATATTTAGTGATGACACAGTTTCTTCACCAGTGGCAAACTTCAAATTGAGTCTTTAGTATACCATATGAGATGGTTTAAGATTGCTTCTACTACAAAATGAGATGATATAGAATTGGTTGATGATATATTTTCTCTAGTCCGTCATGGATAATGAAATAAGTGTTGTTAATTTTATGATGATGATGCATAACAAAATCGTACAGTCTACTACTGCGATATTTTTCGTTGAATGCAATTGCAGATTTGAGCAGGGTTACAATTACCATATTCTGCCAACCATTGCAAAGTATTTTGCATCAGAATCTTTTGTAGTAGTATATATCCATACATGATTATCAGTTTCATATTAATGTATAGTAACAGCAGTTTCTTGGCATAGAAAAACTGATAATGGCACACTGTTCTTCTATGTATGTATATGATATCACATTATTCAAGTAGGATATGTCATGTTAACTCACAATGCACTACATGCTTCAGATGGGTTTTTATTGAACAGTTTGTATATATTTTAAATTATTGTACTGTTATATTTTGTATCTGTACTGTGTATATTTTTATGTTAATACTACATAAAGAATTTCATCTGTATTCTGGATAGAAAATTCAATTAATTAGAACAGTAGCAGGTTTTATGCTTATCATATTGTACTTATTATACATTTACTTTTTTATTTTTCAGAAATGAATTGTTCTGAACAAACTTCCAGCGGATTTGAAGACTGGCCGGATAAAACAGTGGAAGATGCCAATTACGAAGAATTCTATCACCCCGGAACGATACCTCTTCCTCTGTTGTCAAGAATGCAGAAAATAGTGTTACCCTGTTGGGTTCAAACTGTGGCTTGGATATTTTTGTTGACTATTGCTTCTTTTTCTACTTATATAACTATGAGTTATGTGTATAGGTAAGATGATATTCTGTTTTTCAAAATATATTTTAAACAATATCTTTATGTGAGTACCAGAAAATACAACAAAAAAGCCCATAATTACCAGTTAAGTTTTCAATAAAGGAAATAAAAGAATGTAAGGCTAACTTAGAACCCAAGTGCGGTTTGAATTATATGAATTTGGAAAATAATGATTTAATAACTGAAACTATAGACTCTGTTAGTTAATTTTAAGTAATAAACACTTGATTTATAAACCAAATGATTGCCATAACTAATTGGGCTATTTTTCACTACAATTAATAATTATAATAATTTAATATTTATTAAATAATTTAGAATAGTCTGGGAGAAAAGAATCGGCCCAGAGCGGGATTCAAACACATAGCTGCCGCTTACTGTGCAGTTGTGTTTCCAGTTACAGACTATTGCAAAGTATAAAAATCAAGTGTTTATATATATATACATATATATAAAAACACTTCGTTTTTATACTTCTTTTGAAAGTGCTTTAAAAAGATGATCAGACAAAAAGTTCATTAATGAGGAGGAGACTTAGTAATGCTAACAATGAGTTTCAAATGTTACCTCTACAGTTCATAATAATAAATATTGAAAACAGTCTTTTTTTCTATGTGTAGCAGGATATTTATAAGATTGTTGGTTCATTGTGTCATAAAGCTCATTCTTCACAAAATTTTCATTGAATCACACTATATAACATATATATAGGATGTAACAAAACTTTGTGTCAATATTTTAAAGATAGATTCTAGTATCAAAAATAAGCTTAAAATTCTCTATAAATACTTTTCAGATTTCACTTTGTTTTTGAGATCCGGCCTGACAAAAAGTCATAACAAACCAATTTTAAATCTCTCATCAAAAGGGTACATTACTGTTTGTTTTCTGCTTCTGTGTTACCTTGCTTTCCATTTATTATTATTTTTAATGTAAAGCGGATGGATAATGCAAAATCTTTAAATGGATAAAGTATTGTTTACATTTATTATGGAGGGTCTCTTTGGGAAATATTTACTTACTTCAATCAGTCTTGTTTTTTTGGTCTTTTCTCAAAAGTAAAGCAAATTTCATAAAGCATTTTTGGAAGATTTTAAGCTTATTTTTGACCCTAGAATCTATTCCTAAAGTATAAGTGTGGAATTTCATTACACTCTGTGTGTAATGTATAATAGCGAGGTTGAGGCCGAAATTTTAAATGCGAAAAAGTGTACGTCGGACGTTCAGTGCCACTTTCCTGTAAGCCTAGAAATTTGACAATGGTGTTTAGAATGTCGAGCATGATTCCACTGACTATCTAAACATCATTGTCAAACTTATAGGCTTACAGGAAAGTGGCACTGAATGTCTGACATACACGTTTTCATGTTTAAAACTTCAGCCTCGACTTTGCTAATGAAACACTATTGTAAACGCCTAAGTAATCCAAATAACTTTTGAATGAAGACATCTGAAACTGTGGATTCAAGGTGACTGTGCTTTTCAATCTTAAACGATACCAAATATATGAATCTTTATTTCAATAAACATTTTTTTTTTTATTACAGATAAATATTTTCATCCTAGAAAAAATTTCACTGATTTACACATTTTGAATCCCATTTAGTTATAAATGATTTGTTAAATTTTTTAAACAAAAGTACAAACTGAATTAAGCTATGTTTTCACATGCAATATTTATTGGTGTCAGTTTATTTGCATTTGGAAACATGCAGATTTACGTAATTCCATTCGACTCGTGCCAATCATAATTGCATAAGTAAAAGTATGTGGTTGGTGTCCTTTTTTTGTTGCCATTAAATTTGCATTTTTCCGATGCCAGTAATCATTGTGTCTGGAAGCCTAGCTTTATATTAAAGGTAACAAAAATAAATTAGAACATTTTACCACTTACAAATACTTCTTGATATTTGAATATTGCACTTTCATTCAAACACACATGCTTCTTTGTTTTATTTCTGTTCTTGAAGACATAATAAAAATACTTGAACTCTAACATTCACACATTTAATTTTTTATATATTTAATCACTAGAAAATGGTTATTTGACATTATTCTATGCATCAATATTTTAAAATGATATATAAAAATTTATGTAAAACACTTCTCCAAGAGTCTGTTTCTGGTACAGAGGTTAAGATTTTATGGGTGATGTCCAAACAGGACATTCTCATGCATAAAATTTAATGTTTATTTACAAAAAAAACTAAATAAAATGACCATGATTAAAACAGTTTGAAATTTATTTTCAGATTTGGTGATCATTATTTCAATTGCTGGCTTCAGTCCTTATTTTATAACATTCTAGCTTCTGTCTTTCTGCTTCATCCTCTTTGGGTATGGTTCAATTCTTTCTGGTAACTTTGAATTTTTAATAGTTTGCATGATAAATAATGGTGATTTTGAAATAATCTTTCTCTTTTTACTTTTTAAATTCTAAAATTGTTTTGGTTATTTGTTGAGAAAGTGCATAAACCGATTTTCCGTTTCGTAATTTCAGATCTCGCTTCTTTCGATTCCGGTTTCGATTAGGACATGGCTGCTTGGGGACAAGGAGAGTTTTATTTCGCTGCGGGTAAATGTCTCTCTTATCGAAGAAATTGTCAGAGTGGATTATCAGTTAAAGAACAGTCCCGAATACTTCGGAGGAGAGGAAGAAAAGTTGATGAAGCGACAGAGGGCTCGGTATCTGAGATATTTGAGACCTCCTCCCGAACAGACGCTGATTGAAGCTCGACGAAAGGCTCTCGAGACAAAATTTGTCCTGAAAAGTATCAAGTGAGAATTTAAATAAATATGAAACTAACTTTGAATTTTATATGTATGTTAGTATACAAATCATTTATATTATTCAAATGAAGCTTTTCATTAAAAGTTGATTATTTTATTTATCATACAAGGAATATGAAAATAAAATTCCTTATTATAATTTGATATGCATGACCATTTTCTTAAAGATTTTGCTTGCATATAATGGAAAACGTATTAATTTTTTTCATTTTATATTATATTTATATATTATATTATATTCACATAAATAATAATAATAATTAAATATAATTGATTATTAATACTATATTAATTTTCTATACTTTAACGCATTATACAATGGAATATCTGTGAATAAATTAAACTTATAAAACAAAGAATTACTTTAATTTAATGCATATATTGACGCAATGTTTTCTTCTGGATTCAGAAGTATTTGCTTATCGTTAATGACGATCGTCTTGCTAATCGTCATTGCATTTGGAAACGATACAAATCATTACTATCGTCAGAATGTGTCTATTCAGAATGCATTTCTCAGGTAAGATTACTTTGATAATCAAACAATATTACAAATTAAATACAAAAACTATAATGATAGATATATTAACATTTTGTTAGGGCATCGAAAAACTCTTTCTTCAATATCAGATCTCATAGTGCTTGGTGGAAATGGATACAAAATGATTTTCTGGATGGTTTTTATGGTGTAGAAAATTCTAATGGTGTACTTCAGCAGAGAACAGAGTTTGACTCGTTACTATCTACCGGTTGTATTCCAGTCGGAACAGTTAGTATAAGGCAGCACAGAGTCACTTCGCAGCCATGTCTCGAATTATATCATTATTTTTCTTCTGAGAAATGTTTTCCGAGTTACTCTAAACATTATGGGTACATCGGAAGTAATAAAACTCTAGGCTTCGATAATCCTTGGATGGATAAATCAGTATGGGGAAGACACGGGCTGTACATTGGTGACGGCGAAGCAATAATATTAGGAAAAACTAGGTATCTACTTGTGTTTTGTACTTTTAATTTTAAATTTCAAATTTTTATTGAAATATATTTCTTCACAAGCAGAAAAGCTGCATTGGATGAATTGGAAAGACTTCAAAGTAAAAACTGGGTGAATAATAGTAGTCGAGCATTAATTGTTGAATTTCTATTGTACAACCCAACTTTATCACTGTATATGTAAGTTATTAAAGTATTTGTAAAGTTAAAATGAACTATATATAAACAAGAATATTTTAAAATATTTAAATGTTTTAGACCGGTATCGATACTGACAGAATTTACTGCTGTAGGGAGTGTAGAGGGGAGCTTCTCCGCTCTACCGTGCCATCTGTATCGTTATTCCACCACGGCAGATAGTGTAATACTTGCTTCTCAAGTAAGTACGAAGCAATTAAATTACACTTTATATTAATGCTAAGATTATAGATTGCAGTCATTAAAATTTAAATACAATTATTGAATATTTCTAGTTCATTTTTTTAATCTTAATCCTGTGGATGGTAAAAGAAGAAGTGTGGAAGATGTGGAAAATTGGTCATTCATACTGGTTGTCACCCTGGAAGTATCTTCAAGTAAGTAATTTTATATCGTACACAGAATATGGTGATAACCAAATGAAATCAATACATGAATGAAATCTGTGTAAATTACAGGCATCCTTTTGTTTACTGAGTTTAAGCTATCTATCTTGCCACGTGTACAGAAGTGTTTTAGTTACCGCAGCAATTCAAAATCAACAATTTCCAGTCTTTGTTTCTCACATTAGTGAAGTTGCTTATTGGGACCAAGTATTTATTTATTAATATTTACATATTTCCTCTGTTTTATCACTTGATATCATTTACAAATATGACTTTTGACAGATTTTGAATGGACAACTGGGCGTCTTAATTTTTATTTACGCACTCAGTCGTTTGAAGTTGCTCAACATCTCCGTCAAGACAAAACAGTTCCTTCAAGTGTTTAAGTTTATTCAGAAAGAAACATTAATGGCAGTGGTAAATATATATGATTAATTTGTATTATACCTATTGAAAATGCTTCAAACCTACACATATCTGCACTTATTTCACACGAGTAATTTTAACTTTTTAGTTGCTGTCGGCATTGCTTCTGGTAGGATTTGCCCACATTGGAAATTTGGCATTTGGCAGCGACGAATTCAACTTTAAGAGTCCCGTCTTTCAAGCCTGGCGAGCACTCAGGTCCACGTTGCGTCAGTCGCCGGTCACCCGTTATCCAGACTCTGCCTCTTACGGGGCTGAAGTTTACGCCGTAGTTCTGTTATTCGGAATGCTGGGGTGGTTGGCACTAGGAATGGCCATGGTGAGTTATTCGTGTACGGTTTCTCAAAATTACATAGTATAATATAATTAACATATGCGGGCATGTCGTCCAATTTCAGATCAAGGCCGTGATGATGAGAAGTAAACGTCAGATCCGTCCAAAGAGGGAAAAGGGCCTGGAGGCGGGAGAAGCCGCGAGGCTAATTCTTCGGTCTCTCGGAATGGCAAAGAAAGAAAGAAAGGATTCCCAGTGTAGAGAGAAGAGTTCGCCACCTGCAGTGAGTGAAAGTCAGAACTTGTATCGATTGTTGTGTCGGACAAAATCTGACAGTTTTTTTTATAGGAATTATTACTGATGGAACTGGAGACGTTAGTGGATGATATATTCGTCTATGCTAACAAACTGTTTTCCGACATCGACACGCACGACGACTACATCCAGCTAGAAGAAAAGGTAAGCACACCCATTTTTATTAAAAGGATCGGCTTTTTATCATAACTCAACACTTTCTACAGGTTCCCGTAGATGTGGAAAACTCCAAAGAGTGTCATCGGGTGGTTGCAGAATTACATCATTGGTAAGTGGAGTTTTAAGGCATCCATTTAGACATTCTCGAAAGCGACCAAACGCGTTATACTTCTGTAAACAAAGTATAACTCTTTATACACTTTATACTTCTCTACATACAGTTCCACAGAAAATTCTTTAGACAAAGACGAAGATCGACAGTGCGGATATCAGTCCACAAATGGGTCGGACAACGAAACAGTCGACAGTTGCCAGTAAAAGATTCTTCAAATAATTCCGTACGTCGAACGGATTCAAGTGTTCTGGCAAAAAAATCCATTTGTATTTTGCTCATTATTTGAAATCTTGGCAGCCATTTTGTAACAAAGAATTTACCAGTGCAATATTTTTTATAACTTTTAGAATAGATTTTAAATTTATATATATATATATTTATAAATACACAATATATGTTTTGTATTTGTTACAGTAGTTTGTTACTTAGTTTTGTGTAAAATATTTTTAAGTGCCAAGTTTTTACACTGTATTTTATATAAAGAGAATTTAATAGTAGTTGCTATACCAAAGGATTTTATATAAAATAAAATGTTTTTTAATTTTATTTTTCCTTAAATCAATGACCATTGTTTTAACTTTTAATTTTATAAACTGCAAAAACAGGATAAATTATGGTCATTGTTGAATCTTCCATGTTTTCTTGGCGACATTACTTAGAGTAAATTCTTTGTCATTATTGCTTGTGGAGGGAGAAGAATGCAATGAATTTACAGTGACTGAGGCCCCAAACTGTCAGTTTTAAGACCCCTTCCAGTTAGATTTTAAAATTTGTTTTCTTCAATTTCGATACGAAAAATCAATACCATCATCGAGTGACAGTTGAAAGTGTGAAATCCGAAAGATTTTTTCTTACAAATGAACAACATTCCACAATGTAACTCTTTTTAACTGTGGAAAAGATAGACTTTTCTTGCGCAAACTATTGGAAGAAAACAGAGTTTAACTATCACATCAGGGAAACTAATGGAACTTTTTCTGCGTGAAAATGCACTAGTCCTCCAATTAAATGAATGTTAGCACCTCGAATAAGTTTGCTGCCGCCTCACAGTTTCTATGCCAGCACTGTTCCTCCTCTGCGGCACACAAATCACACAAAAATGAAAAATTCTGACAGTGTTTTTGTAAACACGAGCTCATTGAAAATCCAAAATTGAAAGAAAACTTCGCGTACAAAATTTTTTTCTTAGAGGTATCAAATTATTAGTTTCCTGTGAAATTCCATTGCTGTTGATAATTGAGCTACAATTTAATTCATAAAGGAAAGATCCAAATGAAACATACAATTGGTGTCAAGAGTGGGGCCCCCGAACAACTCCAGGCTCTGTATTTTAGGTAAATATTAATAAATCCTGTCCTGCAATAAAGGTAAATCGTGTTAACCGTGGCACTCGAGAAATGTGTGGTATTGAATACAGTTATGTATTTAAAGATAAACATTACACAATTTTATGAAAATAAACCCCGTGTGGAGTTTTAATGGAAATGTCTTCTGCACTTACAGAAATCTTGATTGCATTCGAATCGCTAAATATCTCTCGAAGTAGCGTTGAATGATGATAACTTACATTAATTACGATCATCCGGTAGATCTATAAGAATTTAACTGTTAGTGAAGATAGGTAATATATCGTTGCTTTACTCGGTTTTCGTTTTTCTTCTCAAAGATGCGCCATAATTACAATCAAACTAGGAAAAAAATTGTAAGCGGAGATGGTTAAAAGACTCATTCGTTGACAATATTTTCAGAGTTTTCTCCATAGAAAAAGCATTACAATTTTAACACCGTGTCTGCTTAATCAAAACTGTCACAACCAAAACAGCTTTAAGGATAGTTATTATATATAATTCATTATTTATAGTCCGAGCCACGTCGTGTTTAGGTTTATTTCGATCAAAGAAACTGCTTCATATCCAAACCCAAAAATTCTAAACCATTTTCACCAAGAATCTTTCTCTGGAAATAAAGAAAAATTGTATAAATATGGAAGAGAATTTCTTCACCTTTCCTATTCTATGGTTACTTAATTTAATCAAAATAAAGAATTTCTTACCTTAACTCCATCGTCCACATCCGACATTTCTTGGATTAATTTTCCAGCCGGAATTTCTCCCAGAGGGAAGGGATAATCCGATCCCAAAATAATTTTATCCTAAAAAGAAGCCCCTACTTATAGTAAAATTACATTTTTTTTCCAGTTTTATCGTAAGCAAAAATACCGACCTCTCCGAATAATTTAATGGCGAATTTCAATGCATCCGCACAATGTAGCAGGGAATCGGCATAAAATTTCCCCAAGTAATTCATGGGGGGCGTAGAAGTAATAGTGGCGCATAAGTCCGGTCGAACCTGTAATTTGTCTTCGTTTATTAATTTTCGTACGTCCCATTACATCCGCGTAATGTCGTTAATCGTCGACATACCTCGAAGCCGTGGTGGATCCTTCCGACCGTGTAGGGAAATGCTCCGGCACCATGAGCGAAACAAACCTTCAGATTAGGGAATCTTTCGAAAACGCCCCCGAAAATCATACTACAAATTGCCGTCGTAGTCTCTGCGGGCATACCTAAAAATTTTCACCGAGTTTATAAAGTAAGATCGATACACAAATCTGTCATTCTTTACGTCCTCTGTTACTTACCCACCAGCCACGGTAACCAATACTTCGACATTCTTCCTCTCTGTTCCATGTCCCAGGGATGAACGAATAGGGGACTGTTTAGATCTTCCGCCGTCTAAGAAAAAAACACACAATTGTTAGTAAATTCGAAAGGGTTTGTGGTAATTGGAGGAAACAAATTCACCACCTTGTATAAAGGGTACAGTGCCTCCGTGTCGAGATTCCAGGCGTTGACGTGAGATCCGATCATGGCACCTCGAAGACCCAAAGTTCCCACGCATCGTTTCAATTCTTGTACGGCAAGTTCCGGGGCTTGAAGTGGTAACGTAGCGAAACCCACAAATCTTTTCGGATGATGGGCAACGATGGAAGCGATGTGATCGTTCAAAATTTGACACAGATCTAAAGTATCTTCGGGTTTAGCCTAAACGACATCCTAAGAATTACAACTCGTTACTACCTTTATATTATACCTCACCAACTTACCCAATAACTGAACATGACTGGGACGGTCGAAAGAACTTGTACGTTGACACCTGAAACAAAAATCCGTAAATAAACGATATTCATTTAGATAAATGCGAGTGTAGAAACGTTCGTACCGGCTCTATTCATCTCGCGTAATCGAATTTCTGGATTCCAGCAATTGGGTTCCACAATTCTAAACACTTGACCGTCGTCCTTCATCATTCTGGCTTTGTGATTTCCGCAACTGTGATCCATTTGGATCCACCCGTTGTAGCCATATCTCTGAAAGTATACGAAAACCGTCGATATTTCTTTCAAATATCTATATATTATGTGAATTACTCTGTCACGAGTCACACTATTAAGCTACACTACTCTACACCGAACTCTGTCGTCGGTGTGACACTGAACGAATGTTTTCAACGTTGGTAAATTATTGCAAAATATTATTACTTTCAAATAGAATAACATTAAAGTATATAATGTGTGTTATTTAGATATTATTATAGTGTTTTTTTTATTATCACGGCGAGTCTGTTAACTAGTTTAGAAAGGAGCAAGGTCATCTCTTTGATACGCTTTATCTGGCATTACATTGGGGTTGCATCACGTTCTTTACTTGCGTAATAAAACAATAAGAAATGCGAGAGAGAGACAAGGGTTTCTTTCCCACGTAACACCGTAAATTAAGTGAAAATGCCTTTTAATTAAACCTTTCGTGTTATTGAATATCCAAGTGTGTGTTTACGATTGCATTTTAACCTTATCACAATCGTTGAAGTATGTTTTATTTAAACGTGATTAATCTTACTAAATTAAAAATTAAGTATAAACATGCATATAAACACTAAATTGTAATTGTATACTTATAATAATTTAGGTAGTAAACAGTTTTATGTGTACGATCTTACTGGAAAAATACAATAATGTAGCTTTTACCTGGACGTATTTATGCTGTGTAACTCGACACGTGTCTTCTACCTTTTAACACATAAAACCACGCCGATTGCTTGTGTTTTATGCGTTAATTTTTATACACGATTATACGTAAATACGACAATAAATAATAGTCCATCCCAAACATAAAATACTGGAAATTTTCAAAGGGCGAACCAACAGAGTGTATTTATTTATCTAAGACCGGACTCACCTGTTTCAAATCGGGCCAACTTTCGGGTAGAATGTGAGTGTGAAGATCTAATTTGAAAGTCATTTGAGTTCCTTGCAAAGTCTTGTCGCTACGGTAAATGCTAATTATCCAATTTCCGACTGTTTATATTTAAATTAATCGTGAGATAAACAGGTTGTATCACGTGTCGCTTTTAACCGCTTACGGGGTGTTTTTTAAAATGTTTTATTTGGCAATTGAATTTGCACGCAGTCACGGTTCTATTCGACGTCATGGTTATGTTCTACGTAAATGGAAATTTAAATTGTTTATCGACTTCTAATTGCTACGCGGATTGATAAAGAATCGGGAAGTCGCTTCTAGCGTACACAACTCAAGGTTATTGTTATAGTAGCCGGGTGTACGAAATCGCTCCCATTGGTTGTATATTATCTGTAATTAAGTGTAAAGTAAAATGGATCGTTTCCGGTTCCGTTTTAGCTATTTTCTATGATGAAAAGCGGTATACATAGTGTCGTACAAAAGTCTACAGCTAATACAACACCAGATAAACAATTGAATCCGTATTGTCTGCATTATGTATTGCGATTTAAGTTGTTATTATGTAACATTCTACAGTCGATTTTGTTGGATCTGCTATTCCATAATTTATTAATTTCGTTATTATACATCTTATCACCCTATTTGCTTATTTATACAAAGTTTAACGTTATCTACAAACTACTCTTTCGTAATTGTTTGATAAGGGAAAATGGGACGTGTAGAGTAGAGAAATATCCGTTTTCCTCTTACAATATCAATTTTATAATCTATACCCTCGGTTTATTTCTAAACAGGCAAAAGAGATATTTAAACGAAAGAAAGATGGACAGGGAAACATCTTATGCGTGTGCCGGGATGTCAACGGCTCACGTATTTGTTAAATCTAAGTGACTCGTACAGCATGTAATTCATATAACACGGAATTATCAAAAGTGTTATAGGGGGGTCTATTGTACTTTTGATATCGAAAGCTGATGATTCTTATTAAGAGTTTGTTCAAAATTCGTAAACGTTAGTCATTATGTCTTACCGTTACCTTTGTTCACTCCATTAAAAACAATACGAAATAACTTTGCACGTGTTATTATTTAAAACAATAAAATAATCGGAATGCCTTACTGACCTGTAGGCTCAGTCAGTAAGGTATTCTGATCCAACCCGCGGCCCGTCACGTTAAATAGTGTGACCCGCTAAGCGATATTACATATCTATTAAAGCTTTTGTTTCCCGTTGTGTGTATACCAAAACAATTAAATGAATGAAAATTTGCGTGTGTCATTGTTATAATGAGCAAATGCGAGTACGAACTCTTAGTATAACAATAAAACCTTATTCATTTTGTATTTGTTTTATTCGACTAATACACAATTCTATTCAGAGACTTATAGTTTGGGAATTGAGTGTCATGAAGCTAAGGAGGATGTATTCCTGGTGAAGTTGATGGACCCGCCTTATGGTGTCTCGATTTAAGAGAATAGGACTCAGTGGGCACTCCAGAGAGGATGAGGATAGGGTTTGTGTACTTTGTAGTGGACCTTACCCGATTGGTGCATTTATTAAGAAAACGACAAATGGTGTCGACAGTGGTGCTGCCCAGACCCCTCCATTTGGAACACTCCAAGATAAGATGGTGTTGTGTGGAACGGAGCCGAAAGCATTGGGAACGTCAAACAAGCGATTTGGCAAGACTTGCGGCTCTATCCGGCATCCTGGATAATGGACTGCAACATAAAGTTGTAGTCCGTGGGAAAAATTGCTTTTGTTTAAGAACGACTTTTAGGAACGTATTAAAGTTTCAGTACATTTGAAACAAGTTTCTTTCATATTTTGTTTGTACAAATATTTAATCATTTGTTTTCTTTCGATTCGATTTCTCGAAAAGTATTTATATTGTTGTGTCTTCCATTAACACAATGAACATCATTTCATTAAACAATGCAATGTTAATAATTGCATTTTAACAATAACCACAATATTTGTCGTTTTTTTCAAACCAGAAATTGTCACAACTCGAGCGAATGGAAAGTACCATTACTGAAATTATTTGAACTCGAAGAGACCTTTCGTTTTATTGAATTACGTGTTTTTCAATTATAGAAAATATAAACTTTTACAACAATTGTTGAACCTAAACAGTTTCTATCTATCTGGATATTCTAACATTAAAACATAAATAATATATGTGATTATTGTTTTCGAAGATTTACACGACAAGATAAATTAAACGAACACAAGCGAATAATTTATCCGACAGTAGAAAAACAATTTTCGTCTCAGGTAAATAAAAGTATATTTAAATAAGAATAATATCCTAGTTTAAAATAAACAATAAGTTATAAATATATTATAATTTTCTATAGTAACATGTACCCTTACTAGGTCTACGTATAGAGAATCTTCTAATTGTAAATGTGTTGATTTCACAACGGTCTTTGTGAAGTACAGTGGGTGATCGGCTAACGAACATAATCCGTTTCAAGACTTTGTTCGTTATCCGAATTGTTCGTTAACCGATTACCTATTTACCGTAGGTTTTTATGGGAATTTGATTAATTCGTTCTGGACACCCCAAAAAATAAAAAATATATACTTTTTTACTACATTTATTTACATCTAATATATACGCAGTCTTGCATTTTTATTATTCATGTTTTTTCCGTTTGTGGCAGTTAAAGATTCTGTCCAATGTCGATTGCTTTTCTCTTTTCTTCGGAATTTTTCGGAAGTAATTAATAGTATTGTAATTGTAGAGATCCCCAATCCCATTAACCTTATTCTGGTTTGAATGCCACTCGGATGATCGTTGTTCCGACATCCTCTCATTTCTTGAAAAGATCTTAAGTAGCGTATGTCGACATCGGTCCTCTTTCGTCTTCCTCTTTTTCAAAAGGAAACACATCTGGCCGAGTTTCTTGGTATTCTTTATTCTTGGAGTTCTTCTGTCGTCGGATCAGTTTCGGGTTCCATTGTGAGCTCTAAAATGCTGTTTATTTCTCAGATGTGACTTTCATTACTCCATTAGCAGCTTGAGACTTCTTGATATATCTTTCATATCTAAGATTGTGCCTACTGCAGACCTGTTGGAGCCATACTTTCTATCAACATCAGACATCTTGCGCCCACTTTCTACCTTACTTGGTTTCTACGGTGAGCGCAGTTCTCGACACTCTTCTTTTTAGGCTCCATAATATTATTAGTTTCTTTTTAAAATAAAAAACACTTAAATGGGACAGTTAAACTTTCACCTTTCGTAAATAAACCCTCAACGCAAAACTTAACAATTGCCCATCCGACAGTCTCGCGAAGACTGTAAAAAACTATTTGTCAGAAAGGTAAACAAAAAACTGAAATTACAAGGGAAAATTTCAAAATTCGGAGGAATATTATTCAGTAAAGTGTTCGTTATCCGAATATGTGTTCGTTGACAGATCATAAAAAATCTTTTGCGAAAGAGTTTGTTATCCGATTTGTTCGCTATCCGAACTGTTCGTTAACAATAAAACAATTAAAATTAACTGTAGCAATTAATATTTTTTTGATTATTTAAAAAAAATTTAAATCCCGGCTATCTAGATCACAATCAGTGCGTCAGCTACTACTTAAGTTTAATTAAATACACAAAAGAATCCCTAAATCTCCAGTCTCGCTAATGGGTTCTGAAAGTACTGCTATACCCGGGACAAGGGTGCATAAGACATCGGGGAAGACCAGTGGCAATGCAATATCTGGGAGTTCGGTCGTGAGTTAGTGCCTCGTCCGGACAAGCTGGCCACGTGAAGCTTTCCGGGTTTTCTCTAAGTCTGTAACGCCCGAATAGAAGCCATTTACCCTTAAAAGACTTCTTGGAACACGAAGAAGTTATCCACCAAGCCAAGTGTTTCATTGCCGTAACTTAACAAAATAAACAAACATAGGAAATCATTGGAAAAGAGTAAACAGTGTCTTTAGAAAGAAAGTTTTTTATTGTATTCAAATTTTACAAATGTCGGTGCCATCAAGTATATACAAATTGTAGCTCATTTCAAACATCGCTGATGGTCCAAGTTGATTCACAAACAAAAGTATTTTATAATGTTTAAGTAAATATCTTTGTAGTAAATAAATTGAAATTTAAACTTTAGACGTGTATAGATTCTGGAAACAAAATTTCACATAATGTATTTATTGGGATTGGTCATAACCGAAAATAGTATAAAATTAACAATTATATTATTATTAACAATTAACGTAATTAACAATATTTTTCAATTGTTTAGCAAATTAAAGGAGAAGGTAGATCAAAATCTTTTAAAATCTCGGAACAGAGCGAGATGCACTCTTCTGCCGAAATTTCAGCAGAGAGTTCCATGCGAGAGGAACATCTTAAAACAAACGAGAAAGATAAAACTTTGCAATTTTCTCAAAAATTATGGCAATGTCATCAATGTCGCTTTAATACAATCTCCGAGAAAGAATGGTTCGTTCATAGACAGACACACGTTGAAGAATCTCCTTGCACGTCAAAGGTATTTAATTGTCGTATCCTGTTTAAAAGTTTTAGTACTTTCTAAATAATCATTCAGTTTAAGTTAGGAAAAGACACCAGAACACCCGCTCTTCTATACTATAATTTACTCGCTCACTGGGGCTGGTTTGCGAGTAAATTATAGTATAGGAAAGCAAACTTGTAGTTTATAAAGTCGAGTTTCTCACAATTTTATGAATAAAATGCATTGCAATATACTTATTGTATATGTAATAAATAACTAACGAAATTAATAGTTGTAATAGTAGAGCTCAGCAGAAATATCTAAATATAGGAAGAATTTAAATGTTCTGGCATAAGAATAATGGAAGAATCAGTTAAGAATCATCAGTTATGGGATAAGAATAATGGAAGATTTGAGAGTAAGACTGTTGATGTCACTATATTTCGTATTACGTAGACTACAACTACAGCAAGGTTTGGAGGAAACAGTCACCGTGATAATAAATCGGATAAATAAACATCGTCACAGAAAAAAACTTCGAGTTTTACTTTTTGCCTTAATGTCGTCGCTCTACATTCATTTCTTTGAACGTTAGAACACGTTTGAACGGTGTCAGCGAATGAAGTTTGAGGCACGAAGTAAAGCTGGAAGCTTATTTCTCCGAAGGTGCTCATTTTTCCGATTTATTTTCATGTCGACTGCTTTCTCTAACACTTCCTGTAGTTATAGTGTTTGTGTGTATAAATGTATTTGTGTGTATAAACGTATGAATAAAGTTCACAATTACACT